CTGTTTTGCTGGACATGAATGATGCATTCGAGAATGGCCAAATGTTATGTAACCTGTATAATGTGATAATAATGACTTCAGGTCCAGTGCTCTGGCTTGTTTGGGTCTTCAGCATGTTTCCTTCACTCCTCGTGCTCCCCAACTGATATTTAAGATAGTATGAAGTTTCCAAGATCAAGTTATCACACGAATTCTATTGAACGACTTGACCAGCAAGCCTTGGCTAAATCTAGTACTGTATGACGCCATGACGTCAGACAATTAAAATGTTTTAATTATTTATTCATGTATTTATTTATTTATTCATATAGGACGGATAACTTTTATCCAAACACTGAAAACGTTATTAAAAAAAACATTGTTTTACAATAAAAAAAATATTCGGAAACTAAATTAAAGGGGGAAGTTTCGCTATGAAGGCGGAAGACTGACTATATCGTGAGACTTTCCCCTGGAGAAGTCTCACTATATAGCTAGTCTTCCGTGGGAAGTCTTACCATCTAGGCAGCCTTCAGGGGGAACGACACAAGGTACATGTCTGAACCTATAACATACAGATTTGAAAATATGGGTCCGATTGATAAAGTATTAAGGCAGAAATTTGAAAAATCTCGAATAACCTCGGCCCGGGTTTGCGTACCTAATTTTACCAACACTTGCAGCGAACACCCTGCCACCTAGCGTTATGATGCCGCATTAAATTCACACTACTTGTATTCGTCTTCGTTGAATGCGTTTCATGGTTTGCGTGACTGAATTTACATTTGTAATAGAGATGATCATAATTATTTATTAAAGAAACTGTATCAATTTAAAGGAAAGAAGAACGAATTTACAAGAATAAAGCAACATAGAAGTAAGGACAAAATGAAGAATGAAAAAAGTTCAAAGTGAAATGTAATAAAAACGAATATGAAAACAATCAAGTGACATATAGTTACAATAATAAAAAAGAACTAGATGGTTCTCGTTGCGAGCAACGAGTGGGTCTTCCGTCTGATTTTGGATAAGATTCGTCAAGATCTTGACTGAGATATTCGTCTATAAAAAATTAAAGGATGCATATTGTTAAAAACATTATTCTGATCATCTTTTGTTCAATATTGCTTATCAAAATATTTCTCCTTTTCGAGATATAAAGTGTCAAAGATTTAGCATTCTGGCCCATTAAGGTCCCTTATTACGTAACATATGATCAAAATTTTATAATATATAGTTGCAGAATGTTAAGATGAACATTTTTGCTTCAGTAATTTATAGCAAAATATTGATCATTAAAAAGTTATAGATAAAAGACTTTTGGCCCTTCTGAGCCCCTAATTTGAGGGGTCAGCCCCTTTTTCTTGATATCAAATAAAAGGGCTTGTGATTTTGAAGACTTTTTGTTCAACAACTATTCAGAAATTTCCTTTCGTTTAAGAGATATATAGAATAACAATATTTAGGTGCCAGCCCTCCAAGTCCTTAATGGGGATGTCTTGCAAAAATTAAAAGGGTGTATATTGTTTAGAACATTATTCTGAACATCTTTTGTTCAATATTGCTTCTCAAAATATTTCTCCTTTTCGAGATACAAAGTGTCAAAGATTTAGCATTCTGGCCCCTTATGACCCCTTATTACGTAACATATGATCAAAATTTTATAATATATAGTTGCAGAATGTTAAGATGAACATTTTTGCTTCAGTAATTTATAACAAAATATTGATCATTAAAGAGTTATAGATAAAAGACTTTTGGCCCTTCTGAGCCCCTAATTTGAGGGGTCAGCCCCTTTTTCTTGATATCAAATGAAAGGTCTTGTGATTTTGAGGAGTTTTTGTTCAACAACTATTCAGAAATTTCCTTTCGTTTAAGAGATATATAGAATAACATTATTTAGGGGCCAGCCCTCCAAGTCCTTAATGGGGATGTCTTGCAAAAATTTAAAGGGTGTATAGTGTTTAGAACATTATTCTGAACATCTTTTGTTCAATATTGCTTATCAAAATATTTCTCCTTTTGGAGATACAAAGTGTCAAAGATTTAGCATTCTGGCCCCTTATGGCCCCTTATTACGTAACATATGATCAAAATTTTATAATATATAGTTGCAGAATGTTAAGATGAACATTTTTGCTTCAGTAATTTATAACAAAATATTGATCATTAAAGAGTTATAGATAAAAGACTTTTGGCCCTTCTGAGCCCCTAATTTGAGGGGTCAGCCCCTTTTTCTTGATATCAAATGAAAGGTCTTGTGATTTTGAGGAGTTTTTGTTCAACAACTATTCAGAAATTTCCTTTCGTTTAAGAGATATATAGAATAACATTATTTAGGGGCCAGCCCTCCAAGTCCTTAATGGGGATGTCTTGCAAAAATTTAAAGGGTGTATAGTGTTTAGAACATTATTCTGAACATCTTTTGTTCAATATTGCTTATCAAAATATTTCTCCTTTTGGAGATACAAAGTGTCAAAGATTTAGCATTCTGGCCCCTTATGGCCCCTTATTACGTAACATATGATCAAAATTTTATAATATATAGCTACAGAATGTCAAGATAAACATTTTTGCTTCAGTAATTTATAACAAAATATTGATCATTAAAAAGTTATAGATTTAAGATTTTTGGCCCTTCTGAGCCCCTAATTTGAGGGGTCAGCCCCTTTTTCTTGATATCAAATGAAAGGTCTTGTGATTTTGAAGACTTTTTCTTCAATATGTTTTAACAAAATACTTCTATTTAAAATGTTATTATCAGAAATGTCTCTAAAATTCACTCATAAATCACGTCCTAAATTTTTACCCCTACCGAGCTTCCATACTTTGCACTTCCGGAAAATATGAAAACCAAGGTGCACATCTAGAACATGTCCTCTATCATCACTGAAAGTTTCAACACTCTAGCATTTGTCGTTCCTGAGTTTTTGTGCAGACACAAAGTCTATCTAAAAATCGATCAAAGGGCGATAACTTCTGACCGGAAGTGATTTTTCAAAAACTGACACGGCATTATAAACTTCAGATAGCAACGCATTAACCCTGAAAATTTGAAGCAAATCGATCGAGCGATCTCCAAGAAATCTTCTGCACAAAATCGGTAAGGAAAAAAAAAAGAATAATAATAATAATAATAATAAGAAAAGTGAAAAATCAACAATAGAATAATAGAAGGGTCTTCCGCAGAAGACGGAAGACCCTAATAAAGAAGTAGGCAGAATAAGAATAAAAGCAAGATAAATAGACTTTTGGCGGTAATTCCCTTCCATAAATAAATGGATTATTTTACATTCCTTTCAAAGAAGACTATTTTCTCGGTGAAAAATTCTATGATACCGCAAGTTTTGGGGTAATGTTTTTTTTTAATATCTTAATGAGTAATATAATTACTCCGTCCTCATTCATCAAAATAGCCTTATAATGATTCATTTCAGTTCAGTTCTTTTATTCCTTGTATCAACAGATACATCAGATAAACATAATTACATACATGTAATTACATATAGTATATACATAATTGACATGGCTAAAGAAGAGAATATATATAATATATATTACAATATATTCACACAATTTAAAATGACATTAAGATTAGATGTATACATATATATACATACATATAAATATACATATAAATATATATATATATATATATATATATATATATATATATATATATATATATATATATATATATATATATATATATATATATATATATTGTTGTGACATAGTAAATCACTCTTAAAAAATTAATATAAAAGTTCTAATTTACTTTCCCGTATATGATTTGCTTCTCTTAAAAACTTTCCAAGACCCCTTAATTCCTTTACATTTCGAGCGCTAAATAGTTGTATTAATTTATATACACTACTATTTTGATAATAATATCTTTTAATATATTTCTTTCTTATATTTTCATATGTTGGGCACTGTAAAATAAAGTGAAATTCATCTTCTATTTCATCCTGATTACATAATATGCATTTTCTATCATTTCTACCAGTATTCGTGTATCTACCCCTTTCAATATATAAATTGTGATCAGACATCCTAAATTTTGAAATTATTTCTCGATTTTTAACACTTAAAGGCTTGTTAAGGTAATATTGAAGGCAATGCGTATCTGTAAGATATTTGTATAAATTAGCTTTGGGCATAATGTTAATTTCTGCTCTTAATTCTTGAATGTAAATATCTTTCATTCTTTGTTCAATAAGTTTAAATGCATATTTTTCATCATAATATGTATGCATCAAGAAGTTTAATCCTAATTTATCCAGTTCTGTTTTAATGTTTACAATCCATTCATCATTTTCCTGTACCATTTCTTCATAACACGTCTTAAGAATACAATTTTCTGTTTTTCTCAGCTTTAACCAATATTTCATAATTTTTATTTTTCTTAAAATATGGCAGGGAAATCTACCTAGTTCAAGATAAAGAAGCTTATTACTAGCATTCTTTTTTAACCCTAAAGTTTTTTTACAGAACAGTACATGAACTTTTTCTATATCAATTCCTTTGTTAAAACCCCATACTTCGGAAGCATACGAAAGTATACTATTGACGTAAGTGTCGAAAACGGAGCATTTTGTTTGAGTATTAATCATTTAGTTTACTTTGAACACTAAAAAGAGCTTTTCTCCCCTGTTCTGCCAGCTTCTGTTGTGCTTTAGTAAATTTACCGTTATAATTTAATAATAATCCAAGATAATTAAACTCATTTACTATTTCTAATTCATTTTTGTCATAGAACCACTTCTCATTTTCTTTTATTTTTCCTCCATTTCTAAAAACCATTATTTTAGTTTTATCTGTATTTACAGTTAGATTCCATTTCTTACAATAATTGTGCAAAGAGTTAAGTATTTCTTGTAAAGCTTCGGGTGTTTAAATGAATGGATGATTAAACATTACATATACATATATAAAAGAAGTAATTATTCTAACGTAGTTTATCCTATATAAATTCTTGTGTATGTGTTCAGCATAAAAATACAGTGCAGACTGACAAATTCAATTTTCATGTTTATTCGAAGGTTAGAGAAAAATGACATTAACCTACAAGGACAGATACGGGTTGTCCATGTGTTCCTGCAAAGAAACAGAAAAAAAACATTTAACACCTATCGACTTATGCTGTGTAAAGTATAGCATCACTGAGTAAGTTTTTTAATTAAATAAATGAACTATCAATAATTTGAAGAAAAAAAATAACACTGATAGGAGTTACCATCATGCCCATGTGTTCCTGAGGGGAAAAAAAAGATACATGTATTTAAAAAAGAGAAAGAAAAAAAACAGCATCGAAGTGTACTGAAAATGAATAATATGAATGAAATGATATTTTTGTAGTATATAGACTTCATGTTTATCAATAATCAAACGGTAATACGGATAGCAGTTACCTGAATGGCCATGTGTTCCTACAAACAAAAGCAATTTTCAATGTATCATTTATAAAGTCGTTCCTGGCTGTAATGTTATATTGTGCTGGAGCGGCAACACAGATAACTATCTTAAAACTCGCAATTATAATAATTGTCGATAATTTGAAATTGAAATGGTTTTACCTGTATGACTCCCTGGACAAGCGATGTCCATCAGGTAATCTCCCATTGTATGAAGTACATCAAACCCACTGACTGTCCCAGGTTTGCCGTTGGAGTCTATTGCCGACAGTTCTTGAGTATTTACAAGGCTACCGATCCCGATCGCATGGACAGTAGCTTGATGCTGCAACTGCTTGGCTTCAGCTATTGTTTTGTTTGTATCTTTGGATTTACCGTCGGTTAAAACAACCACAATACGAGAAGCAGAGTGACGCCCACCATGTGAGTGAGAAAATGCGTTTTCTCTCACAAATTTCAAAGCATCTGCTGTGTTTGTACCAGACATCAGAAAAGTGAGACTTTGAATTTTCTGCAGAAGTTGATTCCTATCATGATAGGTGTTTAAGTAAAAGTCATTTCGAACAGTATCCCCAAAAGTTATACATCCAAATTGAACATTGTCCCTGCCAATCTTAAACTTTTTAGTGAAATTGTAAACAAAATCTTTTTCAATTTCGAAGTCGTCATGACTCAGGCTTTCTGAAGCATCCAGGACGAAAACGATATCTGCCGCCTTTGGTCCACACACTGAATTGAAGAAATTTTCAGTGCAATATAATGCATTATTCATAAGCACGAGGTATATAGATTTTATTACAATTAACGAATAGTATGCGAAAATTTTCGAGAAGATTTTTCATGAAAATACGCGACAGGAAAGCAAGACGAGAATCAAATTGATATACTCTTTCATTTTCCTAATCTCTGCATGTTCCTTCGTTTTTAAATAACCTTTAAATTTAAATTTCACATCAATATCATTCAATTGATTATATATAACAGAGAAAAATTGAATTTACAAAGTTTCGAAATTTTCGCTGCCAAATTTTGAAAAAAGCTAAGGAATAATACATACGATGAAAAATATTTACCAGGGATTGTTGTGGTTGTCGTTAATCTTGTTGTTGTTGTTTTATGAGTTGTGGTTGTCGTTGCTTTTGTTGTGGTAGTTGTGGGGTGGGTTTTGTGAGTTGTGGTAGTTGTGGGGTGGGTTTTGTGAGTTGTGGTAGTTGTGGGGTGCGTTCTGTGAGTTGGTTTTGCTGTTGTTGTTGTTGTGGGCTGGGTTTTGTGGACAGTGATATGAGTTGTAGGGTGTGTTGAGGGGTGCGTTGTCCTGTGAGTTGTAATTTTATGGGTTGTTGTGGTAGAGGGTTGCTTTGTAGTAGGCATTCCTTCAACATAAATTGAAATGTTTAAGAATAGAATTTCCCTTCAACTTTCGATTTTTGAATGTACACTTCTGAAAAATAGACATGCATGCCATTGAGTATCTTCCGATCGCATCTTTTCGGGCCTTTCCGGCAAACTCGGGGAAACACCTCAAATGTATTTACAAATTTTATGTAAAATATAGTCGCACCCTATTTACAAAAGTATTGGATAGAGAAGGGTGAGTATCCCTTCTGTTTTATACTTTAGGTAGTATCTTTACATTCAATGAAGTTTCAGGCTCTACAATTAAGAGGTCCCCCTACATTTATTTCAATGTTTAAATAAAGAGGGTTGTCATGGACGCCTTAACACATTAAAAACATTAAGCCCGGTTTACACTCTTTGCTTTTGCAGCTGCTTTGAAGCAGAACTGCAAAAGAAGAGCGTGTTAACTAGGGTTTATGCACTGCATGCCTGCAAGCAGACAAATTAGAACTTGCTCTATTTCAGTCTGCAAAGCAGACATAACTGACCAATCTGATATGAAATTATATGATTAAAAAGTGAGAGTAGGTATGGTAAGCAGAAGGTATAAACTCTCTGTCTGCTTTGCAGAGTAAAAAGCAGACCGAAAAAGAAGCTGCAAAAGCAGAGCGTGTAAACCGAAACCGGGCTTAAGGTTGTCGGAAAGATCCGAGAATTTGCGATTGGATCATAAACATCAGAGGTGGGATCAGGTGTGGAGGAGTGAGCATCCACTGTCGACCGGTCACACCCGCCGTGTGCTCCTTGTCATGATCGGGAAATAACGGAAAAATCCGTGGACAATTCAGTGTGTAAATAATGGCCTAACAATTAGTATGAAAAATGTAAGTCAAAATTTGACTTGATAGGCTGTATTTGCTGACAAGACAAAAGACGTGCTTGTTTGCATTATGTTTGTTCTCTATCCCTTCGCAATATCCAGCTGTAAAGTCCACCTCATGCAGTCAAAGATGAATGGAGAGGACTTAATTCCAATTTGTATTCATGATAAAAGATAAACTTAATTGTTTCTGGAAAATTGCAGAAAAATTCTTTAAAAATTCAATTAAATTAAAAATATTTTCACTTAAAGCTCAATTTGATATTAGACTTTTTGGTATATCAACGTATCACCTTTAACGCATTCTTTGTTGTTGCAAAAGTTGTCGTCACAGCAGTATTGGCATTCTGTTATGGGAAACTGGAACTGTCTCTTACCGAAGGCAATGGGTAACGATTTAGGATGTCCATGAAACTGTCCTCCTACAGAATCCTGACACACCTTTATATTAAAAATAAAATTGTTACGTAAAATTTTGTTGTAATTTTATCTGAGTGCAATATGTATGCTTTGAATGTTATATTTTATGGGGGTGGGTTGGAATTCTATAAAATTTGTTGCAAATAACAAATGAATGATCAATTAAACAAAATGAAATTTTGTTTTTACAACTGTCTGGTCTTCATGGTGTTTTTATAACTTCACACGGTTATTGTCAGAAAAACAAATAAAAATGCACTCACGTGTTTTTTCTCACAACGACGTTGATATCGCTCTTGAAACAATTCTGTAAGGACCAATGTAGCTAGACAAGTCTATAAAATAGGACATACCACCATACATATTGAAGGACCACTATTAATTTGAAAGTTTGATATTTTTAACTTTCTTTTTTATGCTTTTTAAATGAAAGTTCGTACCTCATCATAATTACAGACATCTACTTTTTCACATGTTCCAGGACTAGCTGCATCCGGGCAATTAAAACAGACAGTGCCATTTACCATGTTGACAGCTACAGTCGAGATAACGCTTTATCAATTTTCGTTTGATTTCACTTTTATTCAAATTTAAGTTTTAAAAATAAAGAGGTAATGGCTTAAGTTTTCCCATAAGCATATTTTTGTAGCACAACAAAGCCTCAACGACTCTTTATAATGTTATTGTTTTTTGACACTTATCACTTTCATTGTATCTATTTCAATCAACTCCCCAAAATTGAAAGAATAGAAAACAAGGGTTAATCATTAAAAAAAAATAATCTGTCAATATAGTAAGTCTCGTTTTTGCTTTCTCATCACTGAATCTCAAGGCCGGGAGTTGCTTTAAAGATTGTCTTTTGAAGAATATTTAAGGAAATGAAAAACCAGAAATAACATCTCAATGAAAATGCTTGTAAAAAGCTTGAACACAAGTACTTTTATTTTACTTTCTACACTCTACACATGATATTGGGGGGGGGGGGGGGGGGTTGCGATGTATCTCATTCTCACAACTTCTGGGGTCCCGAGCCCATTGTCCCACGGGCCATGAGTGGACCCAGGACCCCCGACATTTTGAGGATGGATGTACCTATGTAAAATCATTTAATTTTTGACATACTTTTGTCAGGACACCCTTGTCTGTTGCAAAATTCTTTCGTGCAACATTCTTCACAAAGATGAAGATTTTCAAATTGCCTCTTGACAGGTTGTGTTACTGTTCGTTTCCGGCCATTTAATACCCTACAAGTCTGCAAAAGAAGTACCCAAATATAGGCATTTTTATTCCTTTTGAAATTATAGTTTACGTAAAAGAACAAAACTTTTACAAAAAATAAAAAAACTAAATCTTACATCTTCTATTCGACATCCCAAGTCGTAATACAGAAATCCTTGTTCAGTCACATAAAAATCTGTAAAGCATTGCTAGAAAAAAAGGAATTTATGACATGATAATCAGAAAAGTTGTAATTCCTTTTACTGATATCGCTCAACAACAATAAAAGTTATTATGGGAGAATTTTGAAATCTCAATCGCATGAACTCTGAATTTTCCGTATATAATATGATATAAGTATATGTTTCAATGGATATGTACATGTTTGATTTTAATGGTACTTCTCGTGACCATCAGTGTTTAAAAAATCAACAACAACAAAAACAACACTTACGTAATGGTCTGAACAATTAACCACAGTCGTGCAGTCTTGGGGGAATGATACCCCAGTACACTGCAAGCATTGTAATCCTAAAACAATAGAAATATTCTGACAAGCTAATGCAATAATCTCTTGATACACGTATATATTATTTCTTCAAAATATTGAAGAGAGTCACATTAACAATACAAACAAGTCTACTTATAAAACATCATACAATTAAACTGATTTAATAATTGTGTTTTTGACAAGAAAGTAAGTATATAATGATTGTTGAAAAATAAAAACTCTAAAATTCAATGCATTTTTATAATTTATATGAAAAAGAATACAGTACCTTCTCCAACAGCTAAAATGGCGACACCTACCACTAAAAAATAAGGGAAAAGTATAACCGTTTTAGTTATTCTCCCGATATTGTGCACTGCAAATGAGTAATGCCAAGAAGCTACTGTTTTATTAACTTGAAGATCCAAGGTAAATGAAATTATCAATGTTAAGTGAGATCATACTCTTTAGCTTGCTGAAGTCATTTTTTTCAATCCTTCATTCTTCTCTCTCTTTCTGTTGAAGAAGTAGAATTTCTAAACACACATACCTGCAGCAAGGAAACACCGGAAACTGGTCATGAAGAAAGAGAGGTGCACAACCGTTAAAAATTATAATTTTACCAAAATTGTTGTAATATTCCTTATCAAGTGCTCGTGACCTCAGAGAATCGCTCACATTTGACACTAGGTAACCTTCGATTGTCTTTGTCTGAGCCGATACTGATAATGCATGAGAATGTATGTTTCTATATTTGTGATACATTTAAAAATTATAAATAAATATTAGACCTAACTAAATTTTTTAATCTCGTTCCCCAAAAGTTCTTCAAAGAATTCCTTCTAGTGGTTAACCTGTTGTGTCGTTTTCAATGAAAATTAAGTACCGTAACAGGCCCGTAAAACGCGAGGGACCAGGGGACCCGCCCCAGTATTTTGCTATAGTAAATTTTCAATTAGATGCTGGTTGTCCCTTCCCCCCCCCCCTCCTTTTGTTGCTGTAAGGTTGAGTTCTGGCAAATTCCAGGATAGTTAAGGACGGTTTTTTTTTGTTGCTGTTTTGTTTTGTTTTGTTTTTTTTATTTTGCTTTTCGTCACATTATTTTGGAAGTTGCCCCCCCCCCCAACTTTTTGGACAGTATATATATATATTGGAGGGGGGTTAAGAATTTTTTGGGGAGGTTCAACCCCACCCCACCCCCCACTTTTGAAACCGTTGCTAAGGGCCTGCATGTAAATTTTTTTTCAAATAAAATGGTAACTTTTACTTTAAAACATACATCACAAATAAACGAATTGTATCTCTTTGGTTGATATACATGTATTGTCCAAAATTTTGAAATGTGTGTTACTCCTGATGATTCAATCAAACGAGGAAAGACAACTCAGTTTATATATTACTTGTACGGACTTCTATGGAAGCCTAAACTTCATTCATGTTGTTATGAAATTTCTTCATTATATACTGATAGTTTATATGCTTGTATAATGAGGAAGCATCAGCATATAATGACAAAGTATTAGTATCAGCATATAATGAAGAAATATCAGCATATAAAGACAAAGTTTCAGCATAAATTTTCAAAGTATCAGCGTAATATCAATCAGCATATAATGATTAATGAAGTATCATCACAACATAAATGATATACATGTAAGACGGTTGATGGGACTTTAATTATATAGGCTAATCTGGGTGGGAGAAATAAAAAAAATGTTCTCAAATACCTGTATTATAAATTCTTCATTTTCTTTTCAATTGCACTCTTTTAAATATATATACTGGAAGACTGCAGATTTAAAAAAACGCACAAGAGGAAAGATGCAAACTGGGTGAGGTACAAATACTATACACTGTCTAAAGCAATCTTTTTTACTGCAGTGGGACGGGGAGTTAGTTTGCAACAGATGAACTTCTGTTGAGATGTTTTTTACCTCACCTCGACGAAGTCAAAATGATCTGATACTACAGTACACAAACAGGGTGGTGGTCACTGTCGGAAATGTTGTTTTTTTTTATTTTACTTTCTACACTACTTCATTTTTTTAAGAAGGTGTGAATGCATGGGAGAGGGCTACATCTCTTTAGGATCCCTGTGATGGAGCAAGTGCGGGATGTGATTCACCCCCACAAAGATTTTGGCTCAAATCATACATAAGTGACTAGTTCAAGTTCATTTCTTACCTGAACTCAAAAAAACGTTGTTGCAGGATTTAAAATAACAATGAATAGTCCACATATATTTATTTTTTCGTGTATGTCAACTTCACAACTTAAAGTTTGCTGACCATGTTTACTGGCCTTAATGGGTTTACTTTGGGACATACAATGAGAATTTGGGATCGAATCGTGTAACTAGGAATCCATTATTTTAAGCAAAAAAAAAGAAGAAAAAAAAGAAAAGTATTTCACCTCGAATGCATTTATTTATAGATATTTCAGTGATTGCATACGACAACATAATTTATCTACCGGTACACCGACATCAACTTCATCAAGCCAATCTTAATATCAAGCGTAAGTCTTCTTCAGGGAATTCTCAAGACCTATCATGGCTGATGAAGAAGACATGCTGTTGCATTTATCTTGGTTAGATTGTTGATCATGATTTTCTTAAATCTTATTAAAAGAAAGTTTAACTTTTGCTTCATTTTTTTTCATTACTGAGATCTTGTGGAATTGTAGCCCCCCTCCGAATGCGTCAGTTTAAAGTTTTACAGGCAGATCCAATCAAAGTAGCTATAAGCAGTACCTGGACCAAACTTGCAATCATGGATACACTCTACCAGACTGGATCTGAACTTCATTTTCCACATAAGTAACAAGTTTAAAATTTTTAGATCATTGTTCATTCCAAATAACTACAAGCCCTATTGTGACCAAACTTAACTGGATGAGGTATCTAGGGATGCACACTACCAGACTTGCCTCGGATGATCCAACAAGAGTTGATTTAACACTTTGGAGACAAGTATTTGACCATTAGGGTTTATACAAGTAACATGAATATTGTGTACAATGACACGTTTGTGAGCTCTGCTAGAAATTATCCTTGTGTGCTTGACAAGATATGTACAGCAACATAAATGAACTCACATTGCTTCTCGGGCTTCTCTACGGTTTCCCTATTGTTAAATTATACGTTTCATCAAAGTAGCAATGGACCACGGTGCCTCTGGTGACCAAACTTGTTTTTATCTGGGGATGAACACTACTGCTATACTTCGGATTCTGGGCCCCGTTTTACAAAAGAACTTTCGACTACATTCAAAATGTAATTTTTGATTAACTTTCCATCTTACATTAATTTTAAAGTCATATATGGTGTATTTTTGATACATTCAGATAACCAAAATTTAAAATATCTTTCTATTTGACTTATAACTTTATATAAAGATAGGACTTTTCTGTAAATTACACAATTTAAATCAACCGCGTTTCAAAGATATAAAAAATTAAAACAATCACCGATTTATTTATGGTTTTAATCTTTTAAAAAAGAAGTTAGAAAGATATTTTAATCCCAGTAATAATTAGCTTTGGAAGATTTTACAATCAACTTAAGTTTTTGGTCGTAGTCGTAAGTTCTTATATGAAACGGGACCCTGGATCTGACCTATATTTTTGAATGAGTGACGGGGCAAAGGGTTTATGGAGTGGGTCCATTCCAAAATAACTATAAGCTTCGCGTTAACCAAACTTGCATGGATGATGAAACTAGAAATGCACACTGCCAGTTTTGTTTTGAATGGTGTTCTGATGTACATTTTCTGAAGGTTTTGAAGCAAGTCTATTCCCAAGTGATTTTACGCCCTATCATAACCAAATTTGCATGGATAATACATCTAGGGGTGCACACTGCCAAATATACTATAGTATGGACTTCGAATTCTCGATCTTACCTTCATTTTCCGGATGATTGAACGGTTTAAAGATGTTGGAGCAAGTTCATTCCCTATTAACTGCTAAATTTATCTAGATCAAACTTGTATGGATATATCTAGGGATGCACACTACCAGACTTGCTTCGGATATGCTTATCTGACCTTCTCTTGTCCTATGGTAACCAAACTTTCAACTATGTTGCATTTAGGGAAGCACATAACAAACATGCTTCGGATGCTGTATGTGACCTACATTTTCCAAATGATTAAACAGGTTAAAGATTTTGGAGCAGGTCTCAGTTATAGCTGTAAGCCCTTTGGTTACTAAACTTCCATGGATGACATATCTAGAGGTGCACACTACCAGATTTGCTTCAGATGTTGAATCTGGCCTGCATTTTTTCGATGATTGACGAGATTAAAGTTCTTGGAGCAAGTTCAGCCATACGATGATCAGATTTGCATGGATGTTGCATTTAGGAATGCACACTACATAATACGCATTTGGTGCATTACTTATGAATAATATTCGTCGAGTTAAACATCATCTTTGATTACCTATATTTTTTAATGTTCTTAAAGTTTTGTTGAAACATTCACTTGAAAACATTTCGTGTGATCATGCTTTGGAATTGGTTTTGGTCAGTTTTTTTTTCGTTTCTACCAAAGAAATTAATTGCGTATATCAAAGTTGGACTTTCTGGACGTCTCCTCCTCTATATGTCGTCATTGATTTGTTGTTTAGTTTCCTTTATAGCTGGAAATAATAGATCAAAGTTTCACCACCTTAATGATGTCTGAAAAGAGTCAAATTAATTTTTTTTTATTCGTTTCCACAAGCAATCCGTTTTGATTTTTGCTTGTCACTCATCAAATAAAGTACCCATCTAGCAGAAATCTTCTTGTTAAAATGATCTTTAAAGATTTTATTAATATCTCCCAAAACCCCTGACTCAGTGGTCAGGCATTGCATAGATCTGGTAAAAAGACCCTTTCTCATTACAATTTTGTATATTTGCCTCCTAGATGTTCAGGAGCAGAGGAGGTTTTCAAAGAATAAATACATTTCCACTGTATGAGTATTATTAATAAAAGAGCCCCACACAAACACCAGAACCCTAACCCGGGGGCTATGAATTTCACAATTTCGGAACATCATAACCATGCAATTAGTTTGTTTGTGAATACCCAGGAGCAGAGAAGACTTTCGAAGAAATAATACATTTTCATCATATAATGAATAGACCCTAACAGAATCCCTGACCCAGGGGCCATGAATTTCACAATTTTGAAGACGCACCCTTACTCATCATATGATAATCATGCACTTAATCTATCTGCTTAATACTCAGGTGCAATAAAAACCATTTTCAAAGAATACATGCACTTTCACTATATAATGTCTTGAGCCCCATCCTAACACAAGAACCCTTGAACCAGGGTCCATGAATTTCATAATTTTTGAGAATAATTTTTGAAAAGCCACACTTGCTCTTCCTAACTATGTACTTAGTTTCTGCTAAAAAAAAAAACAGTATGAGAGATTATTGAAGGATTCATGCATTTCACTATATGAACAATAGAACCCCACCCAACACCAGAAGTGAAGACCCTGGGGCCATGAATTTCACAACTTTGGAAGAGGGCTCAATGCTTATTATAATCATGCAAATAGTTTGACTGCTTGATGTCCAGGAGTAAAGAAGATAACATTAATTTAGACGGTTTTGTATGGCACGCCAATTTCACAAAAATTAGCGAAACTTAGTTTCACAGTTGATAAACTAGGTTTATCGACTGTAAACTATAGTTTACAAACCGTGAATTATAGTTAACGATTCGTTAACTATAGTTTTCATCTGTAAAACTATATTTAACGGTTGTTAACTATAGTTTACGAATGCTAATCTCAGTTTATTTGTCTGTAATTAAACGTTATCAATAGATTTTGTTGATAAACATAGATTCACATCTGTAAACTATAATTTACAATCGTGAACTATAGTTAATTCTACCACAGTTATTGACGAGATCAAAGAAATGCCGCGGACATTATTCTCCAATAAATCACGAACGTCATCAAAAAATTATCAGATCAGAAACACATGTCAAACCTGTACAGTTGAAATAAATATTTCAATGAAGAATCTAATACTTATTTAGACCATATCGATGTGTCGTCTTACGCAGTCTAAATAGTGTGTATTGCCTGAAACAGCTGATAAATATCCTTTTTATAGCCAAGTCGGGCTGTTCCACGGACCTCCCCAAAACATTTACACTCCGTGATTTTACAGATGAAGCAATGAAATAGACAACTGATTTTTTTATTTTACATTCATAAAAATTAATCAATATATGTTACAAACAAATTTATAAATAATTAAAGGATATTTTTAATCCAACGAAAGCTGAAACCGTCTGCATTTTATGCAATCGATACACAAGTAAACAAACAAATTGACTCTGGTGTTAAATGGAACAGCAAAATTTCGACATGGTGACCTAATTCGTTTCTCTATAGACAAAACGATCAGTCGTATTTTAGAGCTGTTAGTAGAATAGAAATAAAGTCCTTGTTGTCGTGAATGATGCAGGATAACCTCCTCGGTCTCGAAATGTTGTCTGAAATATAAAAGCCTCGGCTAACGCCTCGGCTTTTATATTTCAGACAACATTTCTCGACCTCGGAGGTTATCCTGCAACATTCACGATAACGCGGACTTTATTTCTTAAGTGTTGTTAATCATAGTTTCACAAATCGTGAAACGATATTTATCAGATAAACTATGTTTTACATTCGTTAACCATAGATTTCGGTTGTAAACTATAGTTAACTGTCATTTATACTCACAAACTATATTTAACAGACGTAAACTATACTTATCGATCGTAAACTATAGTTTTGAGAGCTAAACTATGATTCACATTTGCCAATCATAGTTTATCGTAATAAACTATAATTCACACTCGTAAACTATAGTTAAGAGTTGTTAAATATAGTTTATGAATCTAAACACCTGTTAACTGTTAACGATAGTTTTCAATTCGAAATTTCGCGGCACCAATCGCGAGAAGCAATAATGGGGTATATGTCTCTGGCGGAGAATATTAAGGACACGTGTTGAGCATTATCTAAAGCAAAGACCGAGTTATATATAATCAATATTACTTTCTCTATTTAAACAGAATTAATTGTATTTGTTTTAAAATGTCGTGTATATATACATTTCCTATGGGGAAATTTTTAGAAATATGATAAAATTTTAATTTTTTAAAAGACAGAATATAACGAGATTTTTGCTCAAGCAGAGGAGGGTGAAGCGCGTTTTACAATGTGCCAAGCATTTTCCCGCCACATCTCAACACCAAAACAAAGAAACAGGAAATGCAGTGGCGGATATAGATAGGGTTGTGGGGGTTTCAACGTCCTCCTTTGAATTTAAGAGAGAGAGAATGAGAGAGAAGTCCCAAATATTTGTTGTGTTTGTTCCGTGAAAGGCCACTTTTATTAATGTATGAAGAAAATTCGGTTGTTGAAAAATAAATTCCGCGCCTGCAATGTTACATGTACTGTGTTATGTCTTTATTTACAGATGAATATAAGATATACATGTATTTTATTAATGACAGATCACGCATTTCGGTCTCTATTTTTCTCTTTTAAATAAAAAAAATAAAATTTTAATAATTTTCTAGTCATATTTCTTTTTATTTCCAACTAGATGTGCTTTAAAATAATAGAACAGTTACATTTACTTGTAACGCCAACAAGAAATATACATGCATATATATTTAACAACAATTGTCGTTACATAGCAAAATCTTATAATGCTGTAACTAGGATTAGCCGATCTATAATTTACAAAAAAAAAAAAAAAAAAAAAAAAAAAAAAAAAAAAAAAAAAAACTATTGTTAACTATAGTTTTGATCGTAAACTATGGTTTAGAGTCGTGAAATCTAGTTTCACAGAAAATTGTGCATCTCCGATACAAAATAAGAGATTCTGTTCCTAAACTGTGTTTCTCAAGTGTAAAACTATGTTTATCGCATTTTTGTGAATTTGGCGCTTTGTATGTCTGTAAAGTATACTTTACAAAGCCTAAACTATAATTTACATTTGTTAAGTATAGTTTAGAGTTGTAAATCATAGTTTACAAATCGTGAAACTATATTTATCAGATAAACTATATTTTGCAGTAGCAAATGATTGTTTTCCGTGTTAATTATAGTTTACGCTTGTGAAACATAGATTATCGTGTAAACTATAGTTTACATATGTGAAATATAGATTATCATCGTTAACTATAGTTTACGGTCTGTAAACTATAGTTTACAGTCGATAAACCTAGTTTATCAACTGTGAAACTATGATTAGCTCATTTTTGTGAATTTGGCGTGCCATAGTTTTGGCCCCAGGGAGGCAGAGACCAAGAAATTCAAAACTTTTGTTTGGTTTGGTTGAAATCTGTTCAGTATTTCCAGAGAAGCAGCTGAAAATGTTCAAATGTTAATGGATGATGCATGATGACGGATAAAAACAGACAGCAAGAAGTCACCTGAGTTACTCAGGTGACTAAAAAACTCAGTGACAGATAATGAGTACATACAAACCTCGTTATCTTGAACTGAATGGGAGCCGAGAGAAAACTTTGAGATATCTGAGGGTAAAATAGTTAAAGAATGAGTGGTTGAGACATTCAAATCACTTCGACATATCCATGGTATTCGAGATATCGGTATTCGAGAAACTTAAGTTCAACTGTTCTAGAGTTATCTTTCTTCATCAATATTTCAGTGTAACTTGAACTGGTGCATTATTTACAAAATCAAAAGGGGAGATCCCTTCCCCTGGTTTAACTGGGTTTTCTGTAAATTTAATACAACTAGATACAAGTAGATACTTGGCCCATTGCTTGCTTTTGATATATTCCTATGAATTAATTTTTTATAAAATGCATTACTTTCTTAAGAATCTTCAGGCAGCTAGTGGAGGTTTAAAATATCAGGAAAAAACCCTCTGAACATTTCATTGAAATCATAGTAAGACGAGAAGCTCTGAAGTAGGGAAAAATCAATTTTACTCAAAACAAGAGAAAACCCAAGACCTAAGTGATGGTAAAATAATATGCTGAAGTCTTCATTTCTAAATGACCTTTTATTTTGCCCCATTTAATGAATACTTATTTAATAATACTCATGACCCTAGGGTTAAATCTCTAAACTGGTTCAACAGCAGCAGAATATATCCCTCTCCTTCGAACTTCAACTCCAAGAACAAAAGAAGTTTAATCATTTATTTTCATACAGCAAATTTTGGAACAGATTTTTTTAATGATATTCACTACATTAGGATAACTGTTGGTCAACTTTTTAAACATTTGATATGCACAAACAAAATAAACATATCAATGCAGCATATATGCATTCATATTAATGTAAGCTGTATATGTGCTGTTTTCTTGGGATGTCAATGTCATATAATCAATTAGATTTTGTAATTAACTGTTCACTGTCAGTAAATAAATGTATACATCTTGGAGAATTACTTTCAAAATAAAAAGAACTATAAATTTTCACAACCCATTATGTTCAAAAAGCAGTCTTCTCAGCACAACATTTCATGCACAACATATTTATAAAGCATCTACATTAAAAAAAATCAAACTAAAATCAAATCAACATTTGGTATACATTTAAAACGTTTAAATAAAATTAGACATCAAAATGAATTTTAATAAGTTTCATCTTTGGTCTTTTCATAATAAAACTATTGACTCGAGATACTGAGCACTTGTTTTTTTTTTCTCTTTAATTTTTTTTTTTTTTTTTGTAAACAACACCGCAGATAACTATCTGCATAAACAAATGTTAACTCTTTTGATAGTGGAATATTTAACTCTACAAAGACACCAGACTTTTTAACACATTAAAGACTGTACACCAGAAAACACCACACACAAAAAAAGTCTACGATTTGATTCTGGCAAGAAGTTGGAATTGTCACGACACAATCAGAAGGTAACTAAATTTTCGGGCGTTTTAATCCTGGTTCATCACTGGAGCCATCATAATTCTCTCCGTCTCCATCCAAACCCTGCATAAAAGCACCTGCACACCAACTATCAGTACTGTCGTCCGGTTTTTGGTCATGAGGGGAGCCATTTTGACTACGAGTGTGTGGCGTAATCTACAATAAAAAGTGATGTGATTTCAAGTTCTTTTTTTCTTTTAATAGTTCTGATAACCCCCCAAAAAGAATGAGGATGGAATTGAAACAGATCTGCCCAACTTGGGTTTTTATTTGTTTAATTCCCATGCAGAAAGAAAGAGGTTCATGCAGTTATCAGTTCAGGATCAGAACTTTTCTTCATGCAAAAGAAGGGATAGATTCTTTTATCACATCACTTTTAATTGTGTGTGCGACAGGACCCAACATGTGTCAAACCAATTCAATTACTTGTGATTATGTTCATGCAGATTCAAGTTAGTGGGAATATATAAATATGCAGATGATGCAAGTGACAAGAAGAAAAAAAATTGGTTAGGTGTGCCAAGTTATGTGCAGATCTGTTGAATATAATATACTATGTGATGGTTAGTATGAGATAGAAAAATATATATATTCATATATATATATATATATATATATATATATATATATATATATATATATATATATATATATATATGATATATATTTGATAGCTGTTTATACAACAGAATTAATTTCACATAAATTAACAATGGTTAACACACAAAACAATACTAACTAAATGTGGAAAGCATTAATTGTACCTATTTATACCTAAATTTTGGACATGATATTTGAGTATATATAAAAGAAAAAGATAACTTCATGATTCAGATGTCAGCATTTATTTTAATACATATTATACATATATAAGTTTTATATATATCATGGTACCTTTACAATGACAAGGACTAAAATCTATATCATATGATTTCCATCACGAAATGAACAACATTTGATTAATATATTTTAATAGTTTGATTCCATCAAACATTTTAAAAGGGATTGCCTTAAAAATTATGCTTAAAATGGGATTATAAACAAAATAATATTTTATCTAGTAAGTGTTTTGATATTGACACTTTAAAAATAGCACTTCCTCACAGCAAAAAAAGAATAAAAATATGTGGAACGCAAAAAAAAAATGTCCTTCTAAATCAAGAATATTTCTTACAACCATGCATTTAAATGATTTCTAGTATACAACAACAATAGAGAGTTTAACACCTGCTGAACTGTAACTTTAAAGATAACAATGACTATTAAATATAAAATGATACATACAATGTTCCGTGATGAAAATAATATTACAAAATTTGTCTCAACTTTTGTTTTTGTTTTTTCACAGAGCACTAAGACTGATATGACAAATAATGTTCAGCATTTAGAGAGAGTCCCTGCTGATCAATCTATGAAAGTGATACCTCTCTCTCCAAAAATCTATTCTCGTCTCTTCCAATCTAAACAGATAGTTTACCCTGGTTGGGGATTCTCATTCTGTGTTTTTAATTATTTTCTTTTTTTTTCTTTGGAGATAGAACAAGATTCTTCTTGGGGAAAGTATATTGATTTGGATATAATGAGCTTTTTTTAAGAAGCTCGTTTCCATGGCACACTAAATTCCTGTGAGATTCGACTTTTAACACCATAATCAAGGCAACTACAAATTTATGACGAGATTTCATGGCCGGCTTCTTGAAGAGCCTTGGGCTTCACTGTAGCTGTAAATATGTAGTTTGTTTAGCACGGCATCAATAAATATTGTTTATCTTTCTTTAAAAGACAGTTAAATTTTTTTTCTGCCTGTTCATAGTGATATTAGATGTAAATCATCAAAAACATACATCCATTTTCACTTCAAACTCCAGAATTTTAATTAACAGTATAATAAATTGAAATTTTCGGCAATTTAGAATTACATACTTTATACAGTTTTTTTTAATCACTTTTGACTAGCAATACTAAAAACCTATGTAAAAGTCAATAAAGCCCAAAGCACAAAGCTTACTCTAAGGTTACACCATCTAAAACACTATCTAAATTATCTGATTAAAACATTGTCAAGAATTGAAGTGTATCATTAAAAAAAAAATAAGTCATGCAATATTTGTAAAATCAGTATATAACAAAAAAATATACATAACAAAAAATACAATTAACAATTTATGTACACATTCACAATATAAACAAGCATCAAGACCCATTTAAAATCATCACTTTCCTGTAATAGCTGGCAGCAACACATAAACCTCAAGGTAGTGAAACTGAAGTCTCCAAAAACAGAAGTTGTCGGGGAAATTTTGACTTCCACAATAACCTCTGAAGGTTTCTTCATAATTTATAGAGAGACATTACATCGCTAATTTTTCAAACCATTAAAAAAAATTGCGTATCAGTAAATAGCAACCATTAGGTCAAAGGTCATAGTGTCATCACCATGACAATCAACTTCTAGGGGAGTGTAGTACCTGTTGGTTCATATGTTGTTCATACATGGAGGCTGGAGTACTGTGCATGCTGTCGCTACTATAACCACCAGACTGTGAAATGACATGCCTCAATGCATTCACCTAAATACAAAACAGCTCAGATTTACCATGCTATGACAACAATAACATGCTAACAAGGCTCAACTTCTAATATACAAATCAAGACAAAATTTCTTTTGAAAGAACATAGGGGCATGCATCATATTTGCTACTTAATTTTTTTTCTGAATGCAGTTTTTTTTTTTTGTTTATTTTTAAATAATTAAACTTATACTGTAAACCAACTATTATTCACGTCGACTTTTTTTTCGCGATTCATCAGTTTGAAAACATTCCGCTACGATTAATTTTCGCGACTGAGGAAACATGCTCTACAAATACAAAGCAAAATAAATGGTTCGCGGCGATTAATATTCGTGAGTTAAAGTAGGTCGCGAAACTCGCGAATATTTCTCGCACACGAATAATAGTTGGTTTACAGTATTATAATTAATATACTATAATATATTGATGAGCATCTTTAGATATACATGTATTTATTTTTGTCCTTAAATATTATGATATTAAATTCTTTCAAATCATACTTAAATCTCTTTATAGATTATTTTATCCTTTTTCTCCAATTCAGTATTTGGCCTAAATTGATACTAAAATTAAATGTTACAACATCTGTGAATATTTTGACAACAAAATAACATTCATGTATATATTCAGGTACAAACAACTTGTATGCAGCATAGGACTATAATCCAAAGGGCATGCTATATGATATATCTATGATGTTAATGCAGTATACAAGGGGCAAACTGAAAGTAGCAACTCTGCTTTCCTTACTTTCTCTTTCACCAATAGTTAAACCAGTTTCTCTTAACAATGACAAAAACTGTTTTAAAAATTGGTCAACTCCATGGGATACCAACATTCAAAACAAGTCTTAAAAAGTTTTTAAAGTTTAGAGAAAGAATATACACGTTACATTTGAAATCAAAGTTGCTACGAGAGTTGAGGAATGTGCCCTCTCAAGCACAGACCTGGTTTTGGACATTGTCTCCTACCGAATTATCACTACTCTGGTAGTTGTCACCACCATTTAGATTCATGTACATTCCTGCCTGTCCCCCACCAACATTGTAACCAGCGGCTCCTGTGAAAATAAACAAACATGGATTGGTAATCTTGTATAATCAACCTTGTATCTCTAAAACACTCAAAATCATCCTTGTTCTTAGAACAGCAGTAATATGTATAAGAGAAGTGTATTATTTCTATCAGAATTGAATTGTACAGATTTTAAACTAACATACATTAACAGTAACCAATAACTTATGTACCAGTACCATACACTTTCATATACCTTAATATCATATATATACATGCAGGGTTCGACACTAACGTTAGTCCGTTAGTCTCAGACTAATACATTTTAATTCGGACTAATAAAATTTGTGGCTAATTAGTCCGAACGGACCAATAAAAATTCCTGGAAAACAATATATATAATTTACCAATGTCCGATTCTCCACAACTTTTACTGGAAAACCCCGCATTTATTTTTAGCTTTCTAGCTTCTTGGCGGGTAGTTAGACGTTTTCGAATAAGTGCTTAATTTTCAGACTGATTGATATGAAGTAAAACATTTTAGCAATCATAATTTATATGACACGCAAAAGAACGAGGTCAGACATTTTGGATGTAATGTAAAGAGAAAAAGAACGAGATCGGGAATACGATCGTACTCGTTAAATGCGAGATTTCAACCAATCTGTGCTGTGGAATAAACCATTTCACGTGAATGCTTTGTTTATTTCAAAAAAGTATAAAATCGTATATTGAAATGTTTATTTTTAAATCAATGTTACAAAACATTGATGTTTCCTTTTTTGACGGACTCATAAAATTGCATGCGGACTAGTAAAGTAAAGAAACACTAGTCCGGCCGGACTAAAGTCTAAAAAAGTTAGTGTCGAACCCTGTACATGTAGTCCCATTATACATATATTTGCATATTTATTGCAAAGGGTGAGATTTATCACTTATATTCCCTTCAAACTTTAGTTTTCAAAGATTTCACATCAATTCAAGTTTTTTTCTGACTTTATCTAAGAAGGAAATATTGATTTGTGTAAAACTGACCCCTGACAATAAAAAAATATATACAACATATAATAGATATGCAATATGTATCTCCATTTTTCAATGTAATACACTCATATACAACTGTATATGCTGTGCCTCAACACAAAATGATACTTGAAAAGACCATAAGCAATACAGGTTGAGAGAGCAAATAAAACATGATAGAAGACAGGAAAACTCTTTATGCGTATTATCTGAAATAGAACTTCATTGCTGCAAAACACTGATGACCAGCAAGTATGGAAAAAAGACTACAGCAAAAAGGCACCAGGTCATTTTAAATAAATAGAAAAAAAAAATGTAATTGTTTGCCTGCTTGGAAGAGATGATGCCATAAAAATAGATGGGTCAAACTAAACTAGAGTCAAGCCAAGATTATACATGTCCAAGGTATACCTCCCTCAGGGCCAATGTTAGCGGCAGCAGCGGCTGCCGTTTTGGCCGCGTACATGTTGGCTTCCTCTTGTGCCTTATTTATGTTCTTCTTGTATCGAATTCTTTTGTTACCAAACCAATTAGAAACCTGCAAATGACAAATAAAAATCTCTGTCAACCCCTTTACTGCATAAAGTAATCGTACCTTGTCCCTCATGCGCGGCTGCTGATTTGGCTGCGTACACATTAGCTTCCTCTTGAGCCTTTGTAATATTTTTCTTGTATCTAATTCTTTTGTTTCCAAACCAATTTGAAACCTGAAAAATACAGGATAATGATCTTGGAATGAAAACACATGGGGCTGCAGAATCGTTGCCTTAATTGCCTGCAATAAAGAATTCAGCATTGTACAATAAAAGTCAATTCTTAGTCAATCTTTCAACACCCTGTACATTCATGTAGAAGTTTCTTGCTAATTCGTGGATTAAAGCATAATGGCATCTCTCTTTTAAAATATTCCCCTCTCCTCCCTTAAAAGACATTGGGACTTCAATTACAACACCCTGATGTCAGATAAAATGCAAGAGGTCTTCTGAATTAAGACAAGGATTTTTTTTGGATACAGCAATAATCTGTTATTGTTCCTCTGTTAGAATGTTACCCAATCTACTGGTAATTAAAGTTGCAGTTTTACTACACACTGCTAGTTCTTACACCAGAATGCACACTTGACAATTTATAAACACGTTTTGCACCTAGACAGAAACAAGAAGCCTCAGAGTAAATCTACAGATGAATAAACAGAGGGGGTCCTCATGGGACATTATATAATAGGGCTCCCTGATATGCATCTTTACCACATCACAAAATATCAGGTGTCTCATTTTCAGCTTGTCAATTCAATCCTCTAGTTGCAGTGACACATCATTACAACCCTTAATTAAGATATGATTATTCATGTGTCACTTAAAGTAATGGCATATTCATAATGATATCATCCAATAATTATGCGAATTAAACCAAGAGAATAAAATTAATTTCTTAAATATTTTTTTTTTAAAGTTAAGAAATAAGAAGTTTAAAACAAAAAAATCATTAATTAAAAGATAAATATCATTTTTGATGGACTTTTGTGCAAAAATTCACAACAATTTCCCTTTGAAGCCCTCAACACCTAATCACTGAACGGTAACTTAATCCCAGGTCATGTGACCAAATGTCAGTCCGCTGATGGATGGTGTGTCACATTTTAAGTTCTTGAATCTATTTTTATGGCCTAAGAACAGCCTGGGGGTTTATAGGAGAACATCACCATTCCATAATCACTGCTATCATATTCCCTGATACCAGCTCTCTTTGCAACCTTTTTTTTCATTTTGTGGTTTACCGGTTTAACAACTGAAGATAATGATTCATGCAAAAAATTTAAGAAATTTTTCATTGTTCTCACTTTTTTTTCCTTCCAAAGTTAACAGAATGTGATCTCAGAAGTGTGATTTATCTGGGTGAAGTTTTTTTTCCTAAAGTCTATTTTTTTTGCTTTAAATATTTTTATTTTCTCTCGATTTGAAAGTCATAGGAAAACATTTTTTAAAGGGAGACTTAAAAGAAGTAAGCCTCCATGTCTAACAGAAGATTAGTCATGCATCATAAATATAATAAAATTTGTTAGCATTCATAACTAGGCAATAAAAAAAAAATTTTAAAAAAATTCGAAAATCTTTCATACTCATAAATTATACAAGATAGCAGCTTCGTATTGAAAAAAAAATATAATTTAAACTTTATCAAGGAGACTTATCTGAATATAAGATCAGATCTATCTCTTAATTAACATGTTCAAAATGAACTCTGTTACACCAGACCAATTCAGAGTTCCTGAAGAAGAACTACCGCTATAACAACAAATCATTAACAATCTTATCAGGTAATCAGACATTCTGTCAAAAAAAACCCACAATACTCTTTTTGCACAATTTCACCCTGTTCCTATTTCATTACGATGTAGTCAATGGTCCCTTCACATTCCCCCCCAAAAAAGATTTAATGAACCAGTGGACCAGAGTTGTGTTGATAGTGAAATAAAAGCGTTCTCTTATCATTTTCATCATAATATAATTTGACTCATAAACATGGATATAAACTCCTATTTTTGACACTTGTCCATTTATATCATGTATCCTAGCTTTCTTTCCATTAGCAGTGATTAGACCTCAGGTGTCAGTCTAAAATTCGTAAGATGCTAGAAAATTGTACACCTGTAAAAGGTTTGGAAAAATATTTTTTTATTTATCAGAAATAAAAATTTCCTTATTAATTTGACATCATTAATTTGGCAACTTGAACCACACATCCAACCACAAACTTATTCTTTTCCTCAAAAAGTTACCAGTAAATTCTACTATATTCTGCTATTTCCTAGAAAGTTATAACTAAATGCAAGCTATAACTAAATGCAAGTCAAGACTCCCATTTCTACTCATATTCTACAAAGCAAAAATATTGACAAATATACTTTTCTATAGAATATATTCTTTTTCTTACAGTTAAATAACAAGAAATTGCACATTGTACCAAAAACAAAATCTTTCTATGCACCTTAAAGATATTAATTTTAAATATTTTCAGAAGATATTAATTTTAAATATTTTCAGAGATGCATTTTGACCTGTAGATTAAAATACAGACTATAAAGACATGGACCCCCTCTGATATAAACAAAGGTTGTATAAAGACATCAAAGGGAAAGGTTAGGCTAAATTATGTTTAAACTTGACAGATGAGTAAATTTTGTCATGAGCACTATAACAAATAGATGTCATCAGAAGTGACGGATGAACTCAAAACTTTTTTATCACTCCTCAAAGCATTACACAGATTATAAAATTTCTAAACTGAGCTTAAAATGGGGTGGGTGTACATACTGGAAAACTGAGAATGAAAATATTCAACTGCTTCCATTTTACACAACTGCAGATTAAATTCTTTGAAAATTGTTTTTTTCAGTAGTATAGTCAGTGTAAACTTTCCTATCTTCATGCATATTTTTGAAATATTTATTGACATCCCAAGTGGCAAAAAAGTCAATAATATTTTGGTCCCAATGAATGAATAGACATGAAATATGCAACTCAATTAGCATAACTCAACCACGATTCAATCTATCTTTCCATTGATTATAAAATTTATAAAAGAAAAGAGGGAATAATGTTTATCCCAATACTCTCTCTGCACAAAAACAACAAAGCACAGCTGCAGGATACAATATGTAATTTGTCTTTTAAAGTTAAAAACACTCTGGAACTAATCATGAAATTGATATAGGCTCAAAGACTTTAATGCTCAGTTGAGCTGTCAAAGATTGGTATTATGAAAAAAAGTTCATAGATGAAACCCCCTGGGAGCCAGTTCAAAAGATTACTGTATATGTAGTTGGAAGGGGGGGGGGGGTGTTGTTGTTAACATTACATTATACTTTATTGGTATTTGAAATGATTCTTTTTAAAAATAAAAAATGTTATTTACAGTATTATAAATACATGTACTTACATTTATTAAATGATTAAATTTCAATCAACATTCACATTTATATTTGAGGGAGGGGGATCATAATGAAAACTGTGTGAATCCCTTTTTTTTTTTTTTTGGTAAGACATTGAAATTTTGGTCTTGCCCATTACTGTTGCCCTTAATGTTACTAATTTTAGTTTTTACAACATATTTAAAATACTTCAACAAATCTGAATCTTAAACTATATGAATATGCTTGCTTATGAATTTGCCTATGCATAGTCCTTCTGTACTTCAGATGAACATTTTATAGGGGTGAAACAATACACCTCCTTCACGGTTCGATATGTATTGTATAATTTTGTCTCGGTTCGGTTATTTTCGATACAATACATTTTGAGAGAAGGAAACAAATTCAACATTGTTTTATGCTTTCTTTTTCTAAATCTAGTCACATATTTTACGAATTTTATTTGCAAATTGACTAGAAGAAATTGACTAAAATTATTTGACTGTCAAAAATTATTTTACAAGCTATCAGTCATCACAAATTCACGTTTTCTATACTTATTTATACTGAGTAACGTGTTTTACCTTATGTCAAACCCGACTGAATAACGATCCCGACCAAAAAATGAACCGAACCGAAAATTAGAGATTTTGCACCGTGTATCAAACTGAGAAAAAATACCGCGGTGAATCGATACTGCGGTGAACCGTTTCACTCCTAACATTTTATGTAGAGACATTCCTATATAAACCTCTGAACCCCCCCCCCCACTGGGGCCCCACCCCAACTTCTTATTAGAACAAACTTGAATCTATAGTCATATGATAAACTTCCTACTGTGGTCCCACTCTTGCCTCCTACTTGAACAAACTTGAATATGACAATGTTTTCATATACAGTCAAACTCCATAGGACAGAGAAAAAACTTTTGAGATATTCAAGGATTCAAGTTATCAAGGTTATAATACTTAAATAATAGTGTTTGGGACTTCAAAAATACTTCAACATATCCATGTTATTTGAGATATCGGTGTTTGAGATACTGAAGTTCAACTGTATATCCATCTTTTGGCCTAATGTTTTTGAGTAGATTATTTAACGACTCTTTATTGTGATCATTTATAAGGTAACTTCATGTGGAAAGGTACATGACTCTTCAATGTAACCTAGGATTCCTTGTGGAAAGCAGGGTTCTCCTTTATTTCAAATTTAACTGTGGTACAAGACTTAAGCGAAGTGCTAAATTTCACAGTCATTCCGCGACTGCCACCACGTTAAATGGGCCATGGAAAACCCTGGAAAGTTTAGTAAAAAATTTGTATAGTGGCTCTAGAGAAGTTAAAAATTAAGAAAGTTAACAGATATACAAAATGATAAACTTCAATCACAAAAGCTCATTTATGCCTTTGCTTTTTTTTAATATATAAAAATGTTTGTCATTTTACTTCAATAAATGGAAGTTGTATGTGCCTTTAGTTGTTTTTTTTTTTTTTTCATTAACAATTCCTTATTTCTTGACAATAAAGTGACAATTATTCACATCACATAATTAGTATCAGTAAAGAATCATTAGTGAAATCAGGTAAAATTAATCTTTAGTTTTCCTATTTCCAAATTGTGAAAAAAAATTCATATACTGTGAAGCTAACTGGGCAGACAGGTAAAAATAACATTTAAATCATTTCAAAAGAAAACACTCGTAATGACTGAAGCCATGACCAACATCAGTTATTGAAGATTTACAACTTCACCGATCACTACAGTGAACATAGCTAGCAAGATAAGTTTTAAAATCAGATTCTGGGATGTCAGTTTGTATCTTTTGGAATTACAAGTTATTTATATAGTAAAGAAATACATTCCAGAACAAAATGTCATCCTAGATAGAACATGACTGTACACTGAATGGTCATACCTTGGGAAATGAGAGTGTATGTGCTCGTTTATTTCGTAGTCAACATATATAATGCATGTACTAAATGTTCACTTGGTGTTTTCTAATGAGGTAACAGGATGTAAAAATTTATCTACAGCAATTACCTAATGCACAACAATAAATTTGATGAAACAGCTGGTGAGATTCTTGGAAATTTATCTTTATTCCACGTCTGAGATTGGACACAAGGGAATGAAGATATAATTGGATTTCAGTTGAGACTTGTCTTGCTGCAAGCATTTCCCTTATATCAGTTTTGTGAAAGGGGATGGTTTCATAAACTTAAGAATACAAGGAGAAAAGCATTGTTATTCAGTTATATGTTATTAATAGATACATGATTAATTTTCCATTTACTGATAAAAAAAAAAAGAAGGACGAACCAATGCCTTAAATTCTTCAGATCCCCTTTACTTAAGTTATAATTTACCACTCCATAAAAGAAAGTCAATTTTTAGTCCAGAATATGTTTATCAAATTCAAACATTTAAATCCAGTTACATTAACCAAATACTGGGAAATGTACAAGAACAACAAGTGAACATTTTATATTTTACACGCAGCTTTATGAAAGTCATACATCCTTTTTTCAGCACTGTATGGGTCCCAGTATTTGTACATATCTGTGAAAGAGTGCATTTCACTCTGATTTGTGGCATAACTTTTAAGATTAAGATTAAGAGAAAAAATTATATATTTATATATATGACTTGTGTCTGTACAAATTTTAACATTTGGGACTTCAGCTATGCATGGACATATGATACCCTGCAGGAATATAATAATATAGTGTCCATGATTTTTTGTACTTTCTTATCACAGTGCATAGCCAAGATTTGGGGGGGGGAGGGGGGGGGAACTTAGATTCTTAATTTTAAAAAGTTTTGGTAGTAAATAGGTTTTACCAAAATGGCAGAGCTTCCAACAACATAAAATGAAAAATCATAAGGCCTCTAGGGAATTCACAGGATATTTTTTTCAATTTTGTTCACTTTAAAAAGTTAGCACAGAAATGGACAACGACAATACAAGCAAGTACTGTTAAGAACTTGGACTTTTTATTATAATGGTGAAAACTGAAGTGAAGGTGGACAGCTATGAAAATATCGGTATTTCAGATTTTTGAAGGAGAAAAACTGAAACTGATGGATAAATACATAAATAGTGAAGCATGTTTAGGTGCTTTAACTGTAATCCTTATGCTAAAATTATAAAGAGTTGACAACTCCACCATACCCCCATCATATTGTAACATAGTGTTTAAGTTTTTGAAGTATGGGTCAAAATTTGTATTACCTATATGTATTACCTGTATGTACTTTTTAACCAATACCAAGGGACCCTGATTTTGCATCGACCTGTGTTTGGATGTATGTACATTTTTTACCGATATCAAGGGAACCTGATTATGTATCGGTATGTGTTAGGATGTATGTACATTTTTTACTGATATCAAGGAACCCTGATTTTGCATCGACCTGTGTTAGGATGTATGTATGTTTTTTACTGATATCAAGGGACTCTGATTTTGTATTGACCTGTGTTAGGATATATGTACATTTTTTACCGATATCAAGGGACCCCGATTTTGTACCGACCTGTTTTAGGATGTATGTATATATGTTTTTTACCGATATCAAGGGACCCTGATTTTGTACTGTAGGTATGTTTTTTATCGATATCAAGGGACCCTGATTTTGTACTGACCTGTGAGACTGTGATGCCACATTTGCGAGCCAGCTCCTCCTTTGCCTCCTCGCTGGGGTAGGGATTACTGAGGTGGGAGTAGAAGTACTCATTCAGCAGTTCTGTGGCTTGTTTGCTGAAGTTTCGCCTCTTCCTCCTACAGAAGTATTGACAAAGTCAATTCCCTACACTATTACAACTTTAAAACTTCTAAAATAAAGTCTGGTCTTTTGTCATTCTTTTATAAAACTACTGTGGAATCATTAAAATTTGTGGGTGCCAATTTTCGTTGATCGCTTAATATTTACATGTTCATAAAATGTGATTCCATGTTATCACTATATTTACAAAAGAAAAGATGACTCTGAAACCCCCGCTTTATAATTTCTGGGCGAAGTTAATTCTTTGATGAAGGGCACCCACGAATTCCTCGGATATTGAGCCACCATGAAATCTTATTTCACAGTGTGCCAATGTTAAAAATATTGCATATGTTGTTTCTTTATTACTACATGGAAAACATATATATAGAAGGTCACCTTGCATCGAGGAATCTAGATCTCAGAATCATGACAGCCTCACACGTGCTTTGTTTAAGCTGCATCTCAATGGCCGCAAACTTCTTGCGTATAATAGTGACCATCCTCTCTATTTCCTTGGGGGCTATGGGACGAGTGCGGCTCTGTTCCCTCAGTAGATTAACCACGTGAGTTGTGAACTCGCTACAAGCCTGGTTAAAAGAAAATCACAATTTGTGTCAAAAAAAATTCAATTTCCTTCCCTCATATTCTTGGGGGAAAAAAGAGAGTTTTTTCTCACTGGCTTGGAACTCCAGTAATTAGGAATATGAATTTAAAATTATGTTTTTGTGAGATGATGTTACAAGCTTTGAATACATTAATTAAGGTAACATACATGTATGACAAACCAATAAGTGACCATGCAACTGGCTGAGGACGAAAAGTGGACATGCTACTCGGCATTCAACATATTATTTATCACCATGCAGGTACGCAAGTCACATACACAACATAACAGTTCTAAGAAGCAAATTCATTTCAAGTAACACTGCAAAAACGATTTCCTTTTTCTAGATATACATTCATAACATAACATTTTTCCACTTTGCCAGCCCAAAAAATGTGTCTTGTATCTGAACAGATATGGACAAAATATATATTTCCATTGTTTATAGAAAGAGAAAAATATGGCACATAATACATCAGAACACATCACTCTAAAAGCAGAACTAATCACACCTGTGTATCAAACAAATAACAAGGACTTAATCAATGACAACATGGGTCCTGTTGACAACAAAATCCTGTACATAACAACACATGAAAGCAAGAAAGGAAAGAATATTGAAAGTGTAAAATGAAAGACTTCAAATAGAAATTTCTGTGTTTGAAAGCAAGAAAATACCTGTGCAATGATTTGAGAGTTAGTAAAGTAGCAAGAAATTCCACAGAGACCACAAAAACAGACAAGTTTTATTAATGGTTACAGAAATACTTCATTTTCACCAAGAGACAGAGAAGCTTCAACAGAGATTCACAAAAGACAAATGTCCAAAATTTTCAAGTTCATGACAGGGGGGAGGAAATCTCATGTCCAGAATAGCCATTAATCAGATGACCACTGGTCATTCAGATTTCCTCCCCCCAGTCACAGCACCATCAAATGGACTTTTGAATGAATGGCCAATGGAGACACACTGACATCTGATTTGTTTCCATTATGTGATATGAATTGGCTAGCTACCTGTTCATATTTCCCATATTCCGTTTGGTAGACTTGTCGAATCTGGGCCAGTTTAGCTTCATAGTCCGAGTTTTTGATTTCTGAACCATCGCTCTAGAAGACAATAATCGAATATCTTTCAATCAAAATTCTGTACTGGTAGGAAGTCTACAATTCTGCTTTAGGCAAACTTTTTTTCTGGTTTGTATCTTTACTAAGCAACAAAATTGATGAAATTTACATGACTTAGCACCTTGAATGAAAACCAATATATTTGCATCTGTAAACCAGAATTTGTAGATTTCATACCATTTATAATAGTCAATCTACTGATAATAAATATTCAGGCAAACTGAAGCATAAATCATTCAATTACAACAAGTTTTAAAGCATCTAATTCATATTTAGAGCATTCAATTTAGCATGCCAGCTAATTAAAAGGAAACTGCCTTCACCTTTGATAATAGACGCCAAATCAAAATACATAAATTATTCCTGTAATTTTTTTTTTAATTCATCAAAGACTTCACTGATTAATTAACCAGTTACCATACCAGACAATGAAATACCTACTCCTTCTTTTCTAAATTCTAAATAATGAAATTGTGATTCTTAAAATGATCATGAAATTAAAACAAAAGGATTAATGCTAGTAAATAATATAAATGTGCAAATTTATATACAGGCCTGTAAGTCAACATTTTATTTTATCAGTACATTGTTTTAAAATACATGTTAATTAAACATTTGTATTCCCGATTTCACAATTTCTTTACCATCACACCAAATCCAGGTATAATAACATCAGGTACTTAAATGGAAGTCAATTTACATGGAAATGGCAAAATTGTGAACATTAGTAAGAAAAACAGAAAATATATGCAAAAGAAACAAAATGTTAGGGATAGATACATCATTCTGTAATGACTCTGTTCTGTCTGATACCTATCCATGCATCAATGATTTCTCTTCACTTCAAAAAAATGTCATCAATTAAAAGACACATGAAACGCAATTAAAGGATTGACAAGTTAGATTTCCTACTCATATTTTATCGCCCTAAGCTCTGTATACCGACATATGCAGTAATACAGTGTATATACACAACAATGGGAGCTTTTTCTTCTATGTAAATAAAGTTTAGGTTCTTATATTTGATAGCTTACTCAAATTTCTTTTATCCTTGCTGCAAGATTTACAGTGTTTAAAGCAACACTTTCAGTATCCCATTTCTTCTTAAATTTACATCAATAAAAATATACTTTTTTTTAGACAATATCATTTAAATTTTTACTCATATTTACAGTTTAAAGAGAGCCTAATAAATTTTGAGATAATAGCAACAAGAATATTTTTTGCTTAAATACATGATAAACCTTTGCAAAGACACCCTGATCAATGATAAATTGATTTTGGATTAAACATGTTAAAGATCCTTGGGCATGATTTAAGGAAATGCGCTGCTTTTTTGGCAGAGATGTCAAATAATAAAGAAAACTATCATTTTAGTTTCACTGTGCACAATTCTTTTAAACAATTTCACAACAGATTTATTTTGAGAATAATTTTGTTGATATTTTTGTTGATATACGCAAACTTATCAAAAATAGTTATATTCAATTTTTTTTCTTTTCCAAGATACTTTCCTACCAATTTATTGTTAACTTCTTTTATTATAAACAATATCTGTTACATTGTTAGTAAAAAGAATTCTATGCTGTAAATGTTATATATCCAAGTGATCAAGTAAAAGTGTCTGCCGTGTGAAAAAAACCACAAAATGTTAGTCTCACTATGCCAACCACAGAAAAAAATATAAATATGGTACCAAAGATTTTGTATTAAGAGGCTTGTCATCAAATTTTCCTTAAATCATCTAATTTAAAAGAAATTGCAAAAAGCTGAATGAATAGGAATATTTTACAGTAAAACTTATCTTACCAATATATTGTCTATTCCAAAATCTTGCCTATTATGATGAAAGCTTTAAATCCTGTTCAGTAACATCAATTGTTTAAATGTCTAATCCGGCAAATATCTATAGAACCAGAGGTGTCCGGATTAGATAAATTTTACTGTACCTTAAAGAACTTTGTATTCAAATTTTGAAAGAAAGGGAGGTTTGTGAGTTTCTGTGGTTAGCATAGCAACCCAAACCAAAACAACAAGGGAAAATAACATGAAGCTTACTAGATCAAGGTCCTACAATTTGGATACAAAGTGTTGCATTTAGAGTTATAATATTACAAGAATGTTGCTGGAAATCTATATCAATATTATCAACATTATAAATAAATATGCATTCATAAGTTATGGAACAAAATGCTTGGTATTAATTACAGAGAATGTCAGAGAAGTTATTGGTATAAATGCTGAATGAAGATATATAAAACTTTGTAGAAAAAAAAAATATGAAAGAAGTTTTTCGTGAATTTTTCATATGTTGGCAAAGTACACTGTGAAGAAGATTTTGTGCCAAGTAACTTTCAATCTGTGAGAAATAAATTCATCAGTCAAAGCGGCACATATCTGTACAATAGTGAATGTGTCATTGTTGCTAAGGATGCATGTGTTCCACTGCTCTATAAGAACTGATGAATGAATATAAAATGAATAAACAGCAGTTATAGAGGAGGACTTGGTTCACAGAGTACAGCGTTTAACCACATCAAAAATTAAATTGATCCGTTACAAGCTTTCCATTCAATCTGTTTTTCAAAAGCAAATTATCATAATTGCTTTTGAAATTCTGAATGTTCAATGAAATTCTGGTTTGAAATTCATTAGACAATGTGCAGAAATAATAAAATATGCATGTCTAACACCCATTTTGGATCTCATTTCATTATTATCACTGATACTGATAGGGAACACAAGAACTCCTCTTCGAACACACCCATGCCACTAACCTGTTCATATTTCTCTAGTTCTGTGTGATAAATTTGTCTGATCTGGGCCAGTTTGGCACGGTAGTCGGAGTGTTCTATGGCACTGTCAGGCTGACCCCCAGACGCAGCAGCTGTGGCATTGGCTGCAGCAGATGACCCTCCCCCTTTCTCTGGGCCTGCCACACCTTCAGCGATTAACATATTGTCCAATCGCATCAGCTGAGGGTCTGGAGGCTCTTCTTCTTGTGAATTTCTTATACTAAGCACTATGAAGAAATTAATGAATAAATATATATTAACAAAGATGCTTCCTTACTACATACATTATAATTTCATCAACATAATACATGTATATATATATATTTATCAACACTTTTTAAAAATTAAATTCATGTACTAAACCTTTCCAGAACAAGCATTGTATCTAAAAGGATAGGAAAAAACTATTTTGATACTCTCTTTGTTTATCAATTTTCAACAAAAATAATGGAGGTTCAATGACCCTTCACAGCAAAAATTGTTAAAGACTGGAGGGAAAAAAAATTGGACAGCATGTGCAAAGAAATAAAATCCCTCCAGCTAAATGCAGTTCTCTATCTAAATACCCATAAATCAATTTAAGACAGCCGACCTTAAAAAAAAATTGCACACTGGCGGAAGGGCCTCGCAAAGTCATTGGCAAAAATCAATAGAACATCTCAAACTGATAAAGATGTGTTATATACAACATTTTCTCTTGCGTCAAATAATTTGGTCTTGTATCTTTAATTGCAGTTGTGCTTTGTGTTCCTCTTTCTGATTCAGACAATACTGCATACCCCCACCTTCTTTTTATCAACTCCCAACATAGACATTGCCACTGCATTTAAAATGCAAGGATCATTTTTCAATGAGATCTTATCCCATCTAATCACATGTAATGATATATCTACAGAAAGTGGCAAATTTAATATCAAATGACGTAACCAATTACTTTGTCCTTGTAAGCCGAACCAGAAAAGGCCCATTAATGACAGACCTTTGTCATTTATGGACCATCAGACATTTAGCCATACATTTTTTGCATCTTTCAAATTCAGACTTTTTTTACATAAATAAATCACTGGCACATGAACAAGTTAGGCATATGTGTATGGGATCAAAAGACTTATTTATAAATTCTTACTCTAAAAAACCGATGTCTGATTATTCATATATTTGATGCACACTTAGGGGGTAGGGGGTTAAAGTCCATATTTAACAACAATGACAACACTATCCATATTAAAATAATATAATGTACTACAGATATAATATACCCAAAAGCAATATTTTTGGACACTTTAAACAAAATTAATCTTAATTCATTCATTGTGCATGTGGGTATTAATGAACTTGAGTAGGTACAAAAAAGCATTTATTTATAATTGATTCATTTATTTTTTTTACAAAGTTCCCCATACAATTAATTGAAAATGACATCTATGACTTCATAGAGGGCTATTTTTACACTGGCTACAAAATGCACCATTTACACATTGAAAAAAAAAAGATACAAGACAATCTTGTTGACTAATAGTCAACAAGATTATCTTATATTTTTTTTCTCTCAAAGCTTTCACTTTAAGTATTCATCAATTCAGGATAATAGACATGATATAACTATACATAATTGTGCTATTAAATTTGTTTTCACAAAGCTCAACAGATTTTGAACTCTTTAATAATAAATTAGTGTTAATATATCAAATACACATATGAGGAATTTGCAATAAAAGGAAGATTTCAAGCAATTAATTTAGGGAGCTTCTCGTGGTTAATTGGAAGCTGGATTTACCGGTAGTCAATTACAATACATATACCAATACATACAACATACTTTATAGCATTAAAAAAATGTAAACAACATCTGCAGAAATATTGGACAGGGTGTATAAAGTTAAATAAATGAGGGTATTTTTGTGCAAGAATTGAAATTCATACAGTATGTAGAAGAAGATTATTTGATGTAAGACACAAGTGCGAAGTTGAATGCCGAACATTTCAAATGCAAAGTTGCCAATTTGGCAGGGAGTACATTGGTACAACTTGAATATTTCTTTCTTTGAAACCTCTTTCGAGAAAATGTGAATAATTTGTCTTAATTTCATTAAGTAATAGTTTTCGTTTATTGTAAACATTTATGTATAATTGGTATGCTGTGCTGGTTGGATTTTCCTACTCTCATCTTTTAAGGTAAATTTGCTACACATACGATAACCAAGTTATTGGGGAAAAAATCCAAACAAAGGCTACTAATAAGATATTTGCATTCATAAAACATAATTTTTGCATGAAAGACATTGCATCTCTTGTTTATCATCTTTTGTTAGTAGTAAAAGGCATCAGGGAAAGTTGGTTCAGTAGTCACTGTAGTGGTGGACATGTCCTCTATATGTATGTAATAAATTTTATGTTGTGTTTAATTATTAATGTTATTGTTCTTAAAAAGAATATTTCCCCTTTTTGCTGATTTTTGTCATTATAAAGGCTTGAGCTATTAAACTGCTAAGAACGTAAGGGGGTACCTGTATGTTTTACCCCATATCTTGGTAAAAAGGCTGATGATCAATGCATTTTGATACTTTAAGCATCAGCTCTATAAATTCAGATAAAAATTTCAGGGTAAACACATTAATTATTCTAATAGGAAGCTTTGTCTAGAGTTTCAAGCTTTCTTAATTTATTAGCAAATGAGATAAATTCTTCAAAATTTTCTTAGTTTTAACCAGTAAATATGTGTACTGTAGCTTGTAATTATTCAGAATTATCCTTATTCCTGTGATTTATGTTAAAAAGAATTTATAGGACATGTGCAATGATGTAAAATACAGACCGTCTTCATATCAGTCATGATTTTTTTTATTGGTTAATGGTACATGTACAAGGGGGTACTTGAGTGTTTCACACCCTATCTCTGTAAAAATACTGATGATCTAAAATGTTTTTTTGTGCTTTTGAAGTACATATGGTATTTTGTAATGTAAATCGGGACAACAATTGCACAGTTTACACATAAAATCTATGAGTAGGCCATTAGGGACCTACCTTAAAAGAATGCAACTGGACCGTGTATATTTCATTATTTGATTCTAACTGTCCTCTACATTTCTTATGAAACAAGTCATTATCAAAAATCCTGTTTTCAGACAATGACAACGTTTCCTAAGATAACTTATAGTGCCCATAAATATAGCAGACTCTTCATCTACCTTTCACTGACATTCATAAAAGTCTAAATTCCAATATCCATGATGGTAGTTACTTTTCATTTCAATTTTCAAACATGACAAAAGAAGCACACCACTTTTTGTGTCAATATTAAAATAAACAGATGCAGAATAAACTAAGAAGCTTTGCTCAGAAATTCATGTTAAACTGTACAGATGATATTTAACTGTTGCAACAATTTAAAAAGTGGAACATTTAAAAGTTGGACTTATTTTGTCTTTAAAATCTTCATTTAATACCAAGTACATGTCTACTTGCACATCATTCAAGTCCAATGGACACAAAAATACCACTCAGTCTTTTATGTACCTTCTACCTTTGATTAGTTCCATCTGATTTGTTATAAGATAATAGAAATATAATAATTCATCTCATATGGCACAGCCATATTGCATTACACTTCACAGTACTTGTATGTAAAGTGAAAGTAAAAGTACAGTGTCAGTATAACTCACAACTAAACGACTTACCCGTTTTTTCTTTGATTTCACACAATACACTAAATAATGCTGGTTTCATTCGATGACAATTCAATGTGTGTTTCCTGAAAAAAGCAAAGACCTCATAGAAAAACAAATAAAATGGACAGATGAATCGAGACACAGCAGAGGGGAATAAAATTATTTTGCATGAAATAGGAAACTAAGGGGAAGGGAGTCGGAGAGAATAATAAGATAGGCCTGTACCGGCACCTTGCTTGTGCTTCGTCCAAACTTTGGTCTGTAATTGTCATAATTTGTTGGAGGATATCCCCTATCTCCTGTTTTCTTTGATCGGACGGTTCGTCCTGTCCCATATTGTACTGGGGCAGCACGTTTCCAGACATGTTAGTCAGCCCCCCTTGTTGTGAATACATTCTTTGTCCGTCTTCCATATTTTTCACTGTTGTCCTGAACGTTTATTCACACAACGACTATGCTCTCTGCATATAAAGTAAAACTGATCACTTAATGTTAAAGATCCTCATTAGCAAGTTTGCACAATACACATACACTGATTACACAAATTCCGCTACATCTGAGGATTATTGGGGTGGTACATCAATGCCAGTCAAAATGCCTCTAAATAGAAATGGCGGCTACACAAGCGTGAAACTAACCAGATTCTTTCCCGTAGATGCTAGATTAGCCAATCAAAATATCGGATCGGTTCCTTCGGCATTTTCCGTCAGCAATATGTAATTAGCCTAAAATTAGTAGCCAATGGGCATACAGGATTAACAGTCGAACTCCACACGCCCTTGACGAAGATTGACAGCTCGGAAAAGAAATTTGACGGACAACCTCTGCCAGAGGTACGGAAAGGCATCTGAAAATACTTCATTTTCTCCGAATCAAAATTTTATATATATTGGCTTTCACAAAACATTTTTGAATAGTCGCACCAAACAGATAAATAAATTTATGTTTCTGGTCGCACTAAGCTTTTTTCCCAGTATTTCAAATTAGTAAAGCACAAAAAAATATTTAAAGCAACAGTGTGATTACTAAACAAAATTCAACCATTTTAGGGAAGTTATCTTTAATTTCATATCATAACAACTGCAACGAAATAATAATAATTACTAGAATAGACTTAATCAAATGCAAAGAAATCTTCTTGTTCAAAATACAGTGATTTTTTTTTAAATGTGTACATGTATATGGAATGTTGAAAGAGTATAGATATTTTACAAATGAACAGGAAGCTAGACAAATGGAATTTAAAAAAAAGATTTGCTATGAATTGTTGAAAAGAACACAGGCCTTCTACACAGAATGCAATAAAAGGTCCAATGACTAAATGTGCGTTTTGTGTATTTAGATCATTTACATATGCGCACATAAAAACGGATGACCGCAGGCGCCTTCTCGACCTAAGCATTTCACGTGCAATGCATTTACGTTTTTCAGTGAATGTCCGCGCATTTACCGTACAAGATTGCAATAAAGATAACCTTTGTTTTTTTAATCTTTTGTTCATGTGTCATGTTTATGTCATCAAATTATTTAAAACATAAATGCTGATTTATTGCCTAATGTACCGCAAACAAGTTTTATTTCACCCCGGGTCTTTTTCCATAAGTTCAGCCGCTGGTGGCAGAGAATTGCACATGCTCGACTTGCATGTTACTCTTGCGCAACGACGACTCGGAGAGAAATAGAGAGTATCTGTCAAAATATACATTTCAGTGATATTTTTCACAAAAAATGTTTATTGAATTAGGGCTTAATTTAAAGGATACATTAATGTTCTGATCTTTTCCCACCCTTATATTTTGGCATAACCCCCCCCCCCCCCCTCGCTTTGAAACAGCTTACCACATGTTTAGCTGTGCTGTTTGCTAACGAATGATTCGAACTTTTAAAAATATGGTATTAAAATTTTGAATATAATCAAGACTATCCAAAAAGAAATGTTGGGTAAACAAACCCCTTCCACTTATCTATCTCCCGAGGTGTATACCTATCATATCTACCCTCCCCATATTTGTGTTCTAATTTATATAATCTTATCAAAGTCCGTGAAGCAGTGTCACTCTCTTTCTCTCTCATTCTCAGGGACAATTTCGTCGAATGACCAAGCCCTGGTTTTTGTTTCTCACCCAGTACTGGACTGAATAATGTAAGTATTTTCTTAGTATATAGTACAGGTACCTCTCATGTATTGAACACTATCTTCCATTTGATTTAAGACATTTTCCTCTGTGTTCTACCAAAGCTTTTGTAAACTATATACTTATAAAACAGTTGACAAAGTATGACTCCATTCACGTGTTTTTTGTCGTGCTTAAAAAATGCGAATTTGCTGTGTACGAATTTATTCAATTTATAAACTTGAAAATTAAAAGAACATGCCTTTCATATTGATATCATGCGCTTTGAAATTCACGGTATCAATACTCAATTTCCAAACTCACAGCAGGCAGAAAGGGGGGAAATGTGAGCAATGCACCTTTTCTCTTGCTAAAAATTGTAATTCAAAAGAGCATATCGAAATTTAAAATATTTATCGGCAATATTTATTCTGCAATGCACATTCATGCAAGTGAATCATTGAAACTTTTTAATCATTTAATCAGAGCTTCGCATATCCTGCTGACCCATACAATGTTAACAGTGGTGTGCATGTACTTTTGGTGGGTTAAAATTAGTTGTGGGCCGGAGCTAGTACAAGATTATTTAAAGGAAGAGGGGCTTCATGCTTTTATAAAGGTGTAATACGTCTTTTTAGAACAGCTTTATGAGTTATTCTAACTATACTTTACTTATGTAGAATATAAGAACAATATCTAACAACAACCAAAAAGGGGGGGGGGGTCACTAAAAGGGGGAGGGACTGTCTCTTCGAAATCCGCCACTGAAGGAGTTTTAAAGTTGATCCAGGGATTTCAGATTAATATTTTTTTTTTTAAATGTGACCCTGATAGCATTGATATGAACGTTGATATACAATCTTTTCAACTATTAATACTCATCAGCTCCAAATAAGCCCTGTGGTCTGCTGAAAGTGCCTTTTTTTTCCATTGAAGCTCTAGATATTTCAATTCGGATAAAGTAGGATCCTTTGAATCCTTTCTTTATATTTAAAATTCTTTTTATATTAATTTTATGTATTCACTATGTAACTAGTGCCAATACTTGCCATTGGCGAATCCGGGAATTTTTCCAGGGGTCTACACTAACTCATACAAATGTTGGATCGACTTGGAAAACTTGCCCAAAACCTATTTCGTGAGGTGTGTTTGTAAAAGAGAGAAGGAGATGGGGGTAAGCGGTTAGGACAAGTCACTTTCCTAAATCATATTTTTCTTCAAGAACACTACTTACAATACTATTACAAGTGGTCCGTATTTCCGGGGGGGGGGGGTAATTTTTTTCGTTACTTTACGTAAAAATTACAAAGGGGATCCGGACCCCACTCCACTCCCCTTGATCCGTGCATACTTGTACTATGAAAGTATCAATTTGTCGAGTAAATTTGGCCGGTGAAAATTCTTTATTGGTTCCCCTTTTGATGAAAAAAAATTAAAGATCTAAGCAATATGAAAATGCGGAAAAAATATCAATATCGGTCCAAGTAATAAATTACATTCGGGGAACTTCGATTAAACTCGCTATTTTCCGTTCTATGAACATACGGACTCATCCGAAGTATGACACATCGACTCGAGATGGATCAGCTCGAATAAACGCGTGACAGTTGTTTTAATTTAAAAAAAAAATGGTCAGCATACAGTAGTTACAATATTCTGAAATACTAAATTTAAAATATTTCAGTAGCTGAAGTGAAAATCGTTATTATCGTCAGCTGGCAACTGGAGCAGATTCTACTTTCATTTTCACCTTTCGGGACCGAGAGAAAAAAAAGTCGTTCATCTGGTCATCGTTATTTCTAATAATGATTAGACATTTTTAAATTATATTTTGGAAATATATCTTCATTATATATCTATTAACGTGCATTCGTCGGAGCTGGAGAAAGTTTGCAAAACAGACAATTACGAAATGATCGGAAATCATTGAATGTGATCCTGTGACTGGTTATGTAACTATTTCTGTACTGTGTTTTTGCAAAATATCAGTTTAACTTTGTAAAACAAAGATGGAAGACGATAGGCCACTTCTTTCGGGAAAAAATGATGAAGGTTTGCCATACAATTATTACTATGTATGGCTGTAACAATGGCAACAATGTCATATGTTTACATTTTTACAAGTTTGTGTGTTGAGTTAAAATTAAAACCATATTAAGAAGAGAGGTTTAAAATTTTATGGCAAAAATTTTATGTCACATTTTTTATGCCCCGTAATCGAGGATTATATAATTCTGGGGCATATAGTTTTTGCCCTGTCCATCCATCTGTCTAGCTGTTTGTCCTCTAAAACTTGTATACCCATAACTTTTGATTTGTTGGAGCTATATGACTTTCATATTTCAGAGGTGAACAAGGCTGTAACTAGGCCCAAATTTTTAGTGAGGCAAGGGGGGCACTTGAATCGCAAGCTGGTCCAGGGTAGAGTCCTAATGGAGGTTCTCGGGGAAGGGAGTTGGAGCTAAGTTCCCAAAACCTGGGTTTTTAGCAATTTAAAGATTTAAATTATTTGAAAGTGTTCATGTTTTGAAATATTTTTCAAATACATTCTAAACTATAATGAAGCACCTGGTGAAAAGATCAATTTACAGAAATTGAAACAAAATAAAACTATTTCACTTTCCAAAACACGCTAAAATTTTAGTGATGCAATTTGCCTCACTTGCATCAATGGTAGTTATGGCCTTAGTGTATTTCTTGTGACAAGTATTTTCTTTGGAACAGTCATTACCATCATATTTGACCTCTTGACCTTGGAGTTCAGGGGCTGACAAATCCCATTGCCCGACGCCTGGGACTAGTGAATTTTTGGTTAGGCAAGGGAATTTTTATTAACCACTTGCCCAAGGGCAAGTGACTTTTTCAAGGAAAAAAATTATAAGTCTTAGTTTTAAGTGGAAATGGGCAATTGTAATAAATAAATCATTTTTTGTCTTCCTATTTTCATAGTTTATGGTGGGGCAAGTAAAAATTCAGGTAGGGCAAGTGAATTTTGACCATGTACTCGCCCATGGGCAAATACTTGAAAAATCTATTTGTCAGCCCCTGGAGTTCGACTCATTTTTGCAAAATTTTACGAAACTTTAATTAAGGCTATAACTTTTGAACAGTTAGTACTAGGCATTCATACTTCACATGTGTATTCCTTGTGACGTGACCTTTCCTTGGGTATAATTTTTTTTTACCTTGACCTTGGAGTTTGATCCAACTTTTAAAACTTTAACCTTGGCCAACAGTTAGTACTAGGGCTTTCATATTTCACAGATGTATTCCTTGTGACAAGATGTCCCCTAGAATACCAACAATTTTGACCTTGACCTTGGAGTTTGACCTACGGGTACTTTTGAAAAACATTAACCTTGGCCATAACTTTTGTAGAGCTTTCATATTTCACAGGTATATTCTTTGTGAAAGACCTTTCCGTGGGTGCTATTAATTTTGACCACTTGACCTTGACGTTTGACTTACTATAGAAAAACTTTAACCTTCGACATAACTTTTCAATGGTTGGTGCTAGGGCTTTCATATTATCACAGGTATATTTCTTGAGACAAAACATTTCTTTGGGTACCAACTGTTTTGATCTCTTAATTGATCTGGAGTTTGATTTGCATTTGAGAAACTTTAACCTTTGCCATAAGCTGCCATACAGGGGCATCAGTGTTTCAGAAACATATCTTGTTCTTTATTTTATTACGTCTTGGAATATTGTCATGTAAGAAATTGACTCCATCTCGCCATCTTAGCTAACTTAGTAATTGCATGCAACAAAGTCATCTTAAGCATGCAGCTATGAAATGAATACTGGTACCCTAGTATAAATTTTTCCAGCATAATACTTGCATCCTTTTCATTGTGTTCTCTGTTATATTTGTAATATTTATGTTTCACATAAAGTTTCATGAAATAAGCTATGTTTAATATCTAGACTGGGATTGTAACCCAGACTTTTCACAATGCTGGTGCATTCAAAAGTGTCAGGTAGCCTACCCCTGTACATGTAACACTCTTTCCCCCTTTTTTCTTGAGGTTGCCCCTGAAAACATCACTTAGACCTTTTCAAAATACTAGTACCCTTGGGGATTGTAGTTGGGAGCCAAATGTAAGAAATGGGAATAAGTGTTTGGTGAATTAGTACTCGAGTCCTGGACCTTCCATTAATTGTGCTTGTGCTCTACCAGTAAGCTAACTACAGTCCCAATCTCAAGTGCATTGTTGGTGGAAAGAATGCAGCACAATACATACTTAAGGTTGCACTACAGAATGATTTTAGATATTTATATTTTGACAAAATTGCAATGCATGGGGAAAACAATAAACAGGGTTTGGCACAAAAATTTATTAGGCATTTTAGTCATACACTAGACCACTTAAATGTCTGGAGCACTATTTTTTACATTACTTCATTAATCTCATAAGCTTGGAACATCCAAGATCGATTCCCCTCCCCCAAGCAAAAAAATATTTATTAGCTCACCTGAGTTGAAAGCTCAAGTGTGGCTTTTCTGATAAACCATTTTCTGGCATCTGTCTCTCTAGCTGTCTGTCTGACCGTTCATTTGTAAACTTTTCACTTTTCCAGCTTTTTTTTTTCTTTAAATTACTGGGCCAATTTTAATATACACCATATACTAGATATAACAACATATTTTATAAGTAGAGTAGACACTTTTAACTTCCAGTGTAACATTGCCATGTATACATTTTAAAGATGACAGAACAGTTCCATATGTAAGTAACATCTCTGATTTTTAGATGGGGTCACGTGAACCCGTCTATTAATTTTATTGTCAGTCAAAGCCTGAAAACGGTAGTTGTACAAATTTTATTAGCCTTGGTCTACAGTACTAGTGTTCGTGTTAAACTCTGGTAGACATTCATGTGCTAAGCTGAACTTTGTATGTTCTAATAAGTGACTTGCATTTTGAATTTTTGGTTGTATTTTTAGAGAATTTTCTGTATGTTAGGCATCGGATGCGATACCATGTATGTCCTGAAATGTAGGCTGATTTTTTTTAAAATCATTAACTTTGAAAGAATGAAGATTCCTCAGGTGTCTCCCTGAGGAATTTTTAAAAAAATCGTTAAATTCTCTGAGGTCTCTTTCATGACATCGGACAATGACAATTTTGAGTGTTTGAATAAGGATAAATTGTCCGATCAAAATTTGGTTTGTTTGAAGTACAGTTAAAAGAAGTGAATTTTTGTCTAGAGATAAAACTATGACTTGGTTTACACTTTCTTGACTCCCAGATAATGTATTTACCTGTTTGGCTAATCTGCAAAAGTAATCCATGTGTCCACATTGTCATGAAAGGTCACCAATAGAATGAGTTCTGAGATGAAATAGAAAGATAGAACCATTTATAGGGGGAGGGGGGTTGTGATTTTGGGTTTCCAATGATATTAGGGGGGGTATAAACAATTTGGAAGAAGGATGCAATTGATTTGTTCATTTTTAACATTTAATTGACAAATTGCAGCTTCATAGGTCAAGTATAACTCTCCGCCTCACAGCTAAATTGATGAGGCTGTGTAAACATTTTTATCATTTAATCTTATCTTGCTTGCCTCACAAAAATAAAAATTTTAAGAATTATCTTTAATCAAAGTACTGAAAGTACTACTACGAGTTGATGGTATTGATTATCTAATGTTTAAATGAGTAGAGATCTCTAATCCATATTTGGATTATGTGATATTATGTGCAATGATGAAAACTATCACTTAATCTTTTCTTTTTGTTTTCTTTGAGAAATAAAATTGTATCATTTTATTTCCACCTTTTCTATCATGCATTTTTAATATATTTGTATTTTTTTAATATCTACTGGAATGTATAATAATTTATCACAAATCGAACCTTTAAATATAGAAAACAAATACAATGTAATACTAATTCAGGCGCGGATCCAGGATTTTTTTCGAGGGGTGGGGGAGGGGGGGGGGAGGTCCACCCCAGTGAAAAAAATTTCCAACCCAAAAATTTCTTGACAAGCAAAACAAAAAACAAAAAACAAAAACAAAAAAACAACAAACTAAAATCCATTTCCAAATCGTGAAAAACACCTATTTCGTGGTGGTGATGGTGGGGTCCACGTTTTCAAGGGGGGGGGGGGGTCCAATGTCTTTTTTTTTTGCTTCAGTATATACTTTTAGTAACTCTGTAAATTCCAGGGGGTCCCCCCCCCGGACCCCCTCTAGATCCGCGTATGTAATTAGTTTTGGGATTTTTTGTAAAATGATAATGTAGCTTGCATTTAAAGTAATTTGTATTTTTACAAAATATTAAAGGATACTACCATCATTGAAATGGTCACAGAGCACAGAATATCATCATTAAAACTACCGGGAACAGTTTTTGGGCACTCAATATCATTTGACAGAAATATTATATATCAAGTAACTAGAAATTTCACATAGGGAAAAATGGCACAACTGTTGTATAAAATCATATTACAGAACTAAAACAACTCCTAAATAGACAAAAACAAGAAAACGCTTTAAACACACATATCTCAAACTAATTGGCAAAACCTACAATAGTATTACAAGTAGGGAATTATTACTTGCAAATAGCGCAAATTGAATTATTTCATTAACATGCTCATTGAATATTTTCACTGCTTTCTTAAATTGAAAAACAATTTGACATTTTCAACGCATGTCAATATATTCCAATTCTCGTGATTAAGCCAGGCTTAAAATTCATATCTTTTACTTTCATTTATATGTATATTACATAATTCAATTTTCTTGATTTAGTTACTATTGAAATTCAACTCTTTGTCTTTCAAAATTTACATGCACGTATTATAATTCAATTTTCTTGATTTAGCCACTCTTGATATTCAGCACCCTGTCTTTTATGATCATTGATATGCACAATGAATATTTTAATTATCTTGATTTAGCTACTCTTGAAATTCAACTTCTTGACTTTTAACTGAAATGAGCATTTTATATGTCATTTCGTTTGGTTTAGTCACTCTTGAAATAAATATAACAACTTGACTTTAATTGATATGCACATTTTATACATCATTTCTCTTGGTTTAGCCTTTCTTGAAATTCAACTACTTGACTTTCATTGATACATGTGTGCACATTTAATATTTCAATTCTTTCGGCTTTTCGACTGAAGACTTTAAATTCATCACAATGACATGATATTGACTATTTACATGATCTATCTACTCTTGAATTAATTTGATTTCTTGATCTCTTCACATTTATAAATATGCATTTCACATTTAATTTATCAACAACACCCGCTTAATTTTTTTTGTTTTCGTTTTTATTTATTGCCTTCACAGTACTAATTCACTTTATCACATGGTCAGCATCTGATAGCAAAACACAGCTGGGCATATTAAAGGAAACCACTTTCCAGTGTAGTGCCGACAATTAATGACAGGCGTAGTAAGTGACCATTGCTGTATTTAAAGCTTGCTGCGAAACAGATCTAGATTTTAGAAGACGGGAATTCTTAACACTGTTTTTAACAAGGAAAAAGAAATTGGAACACAAAGTTGTCCGCTGATGAAAAAATCTAACACTTTAAGCAATCGAAATCTTTTATTTCTTGCACAAGAAATAAGAACTATAATTTCAAATTTTTTTTTTTTCAACTGGTACAGCTCATTTCTTCCGTTTGAGATTAGTAATTGGTTTACTTCGATCTTCTTTACTGCAAACTCCTCGCTTTGTTTACAAACATAGGCAGTGTTCTCTGTGTTGAACGATTCATCACAAGCGCGGGCAAACTGTTCATTAGCATAACAGCGCAAGAATTTTAGTTTACTTATATACCACCAGCACGTCAATCTTGTAAAAATAACCTGGTTTGTACAATGTTCAATTTTGTGAATTTTCTTTAAAAGTCTGTTTTCAAAATACTTCTTATTATATAAACATTTATTGATTTATAAATCAAAGCTTTGTTTGCTCGACATGTCACTTTTGTTGACCGCTGTCCCTAACACTATTTTCTCTAGCGGATAGACAAAAATTCCATTAAAATCAATAATAAAATATATAAGTTTATATACACTTCAAAGCATATCAGGAAACATATTCTTGTTCTGTAGATTATGAAAATTGTAAATAAACCAATATTATACAAGAACCCGTACGCAAAGTACTCAAACGAAAATGTGATTAGTTTCGATACATTAGGGAATCCCTTACAAGTCACATAACATGAGTTGATACCATCAACTCGTAAAAATCACTTGCTTGAACAAATTTACTAGCAGAAAAGCATAATTTTGATGATTCCCAAACAAGTTCATGTGTAAAAAAAAAATCAGTTTTTGGATCATAATTGATTAAAAAGTGAATTTTTTTTTTCAGAATCTGACACAACAATGGAAAAAGAGCCAGGTATAATTTTTTGCTTTTATTTTAAAAGTTAATCAACACAGTTATACAAGGTTGTGTGATTATGTTGGTTTACATGTTGTTCGGTATGCGAGGTTACTAGCCCTTGTTTTTCTAAAGAACATTAATTTGACAACTACAAGAGATTAATTGTTTCTAGGTGTAGGGGACCTGCAGGTCAAATTGTCTTGTCCAGTATGTTTATGAAACAATGCTATGAAAGATGTTTTTATAACTATATAAACAAGCACAAGTGTTTGTAAACTGGATAAAAAAAATGGTTAAAAAATTCTATAATTTGGAACAAATGTCAGGTAATTATGATGATTTTTTATGACCTGAAAGAAAACAATTACTCCAATACTTAAATATTTTTTCTGAAGGTTTGTTTCATAACAATTAAGATTTGATACAGAATTATGTTTATTGCATAATATGGTATCTGCAATAACAAAGTTTGTTTTCTTAGAATTTATAATTCTTAGTTGAAATTTTCAAGATTTCTAGCTTCTACTAGAAAATTATTTATAATAACCAAATTAAAGAATCTGTATAAACCAATTGGTAAAAACTGACTAGATATTTAACATACAGTTGAACTTTGGTATCTCGAACATCAATGTTTCAAGTAACATGGATATGTTGAAGTGATTTTAAAGTCCCAAGTGCTTATTTATTAAGTATTTTACCCTAGATACCTCAAATCCTTGGATATCTTGAAGTATTTTCTCAGTCCCACCAAGTTCGAGATATTGAAGTTTTACTGTATTTATAATAGTTGAAGATGAGAAAGTACCTTTAGTTATCAAAATTAAAAGCTTGATCTAGACTTGCCAATTTATTAAGATTATAGAAAGGTCAAAATCAGAATTTTCCCTAGTCTTTTTCACTTTTACTGCTGTAAATCAAAGTTTAATTACATTTATTACATTTTCAACAGTGAAATACTGTGATTTATTTTATGGTGAATGATATTTTCACAGAGACTAAGGAGCAGGAGGGATTACCATGGTACCGAACTTTGACCCCATACAAGTTGTATGTCCTCTTCCTCCTGCTGCTGACCTACTTACTGAATCAGCTAGACAGATACATGCTGGCCATCACATCCAAGTCCATGGCTCAGGAAATTCATTTTGGGGACAAAGCCTGCATGAAGAACACATCTTTCTCTGACAATGCTTTTAAAGGGGTTAAATGTGGAGACATTTCTACTGAAGCTTTGTGAGTTTTGCATTTCTTAGACTTAGCAAATGTAAAAAACACATTGCAAACTCGGACTTCGAGAGAATAAGAGAAATTAATGTACACTAACCTGCAGAAGGATTTTAATTGTTTTTTTATATTCATGAAGTTTCTTATGACTTAACTATAATGTATTTTATGCCCTTTTAATTGAAGAATGGTTCAGTATATGGCTTTTAAATGGTCTTTCCACATCTGTAACCTATGTAGTAATTTTTTAACTGTACAAGGTAGAAAGGGCTTTATCTTTGGGCAAATGGAAGGTTAGGGTCAAGGCCCTCTGCCAGTTCAAGTTTACTGAGATACTTTGAAGCTCAAGTAAACCTTTTTACAACCACATGAATCTCAGTTATAACTGATTAACTGATGAATTATACAAAGCACTTTACATTTGGGCAAGAAAACGGTCAAGGCCAAAGCTTCATGACAGATTAATATCATATATCAATATCAAAAATGAAGTTGGACTATATATCACCATTAGGAAATTTGTTCCACATTTTCTCATCACCAACTGCCCCCCCCCCCCCCCCTTCCAAAAAATATGGAACAGTAACTTGATATGAGTTTCATTTGTAATGAAAACTTTATACATTATAATATTGCATAAAATTATATGGGATCTGATGTTGTCTTGTATTAAGTAATGCAAATATTTTTTTTTTTTTACAGGTGCCGAAATGCAACAAATAACCAAACACAGCATGTTTGTTACTATGACTATAATGGACAAGGAAATGAATACCAGATTGTAGCAGGACCTGCCTTCATAGTCATCTATACATTTGCCGGAATCTTCATTAGTTATGTGGCTGATAGATACAACAGAAAGGTGATGTTGGCTGTGTGTCTAATGTTTTGGTCAGTCATGACCCTGTTAACCGGATTTGTCAAGGAGTACTGGCAGCTGGTTATTCTTCGGTTTGGACTTGGATTCGGGTGCGTGAATGGTTCTTATATGATAAGGGTAAATTTCTCTGAAAATTTTAACAATTTTTGACTTACATTTTCAAAGAATTACAGTCACTACTGATGAATTTAAGTACTAATAAATCAATTTACCAAGTGGGAGACAAAGTGACATGAATACCATTCAAATGATAATTTATCTGTCTCTAAATTATTCTCTCTCCCAATGTAAACTCTGGACTGTTTACCATTGCAGAGAAGCTGGTTGTGGCCCCTTTGCTGTGTCCATTCTAACAGATTACTTCACCCCAGAAACAAGAGGATTTGCTCTTGGAATTTATAACTGGGGGATCTACTTTGGCTATAGCATGGCTTATGCTTTTGGAAATTTCATTTCTTTAGCAGACATCAATGGTCAAGTAAATGGAGTTTTAGATGACATATATTCATTTGCAATTGTCTGAGTATGGCTTTTTGCAAAGATAGACATACTCACTAGCATGTGGTATATCTCTCACTGATATTTCAGTTTTCTTTTTCAATTTAAAAAAAAATTACAGTAATTGAAGAACTTGACTGTTTCAGGGATGGAGATGGACCTTTATTCTGTCTGGTATACCTGGTATTGCTATAGGAGTACTTATGTTGCTAACTCTGAAGGAGCCAGAAAGAAAGAAGGAAAAAGTGGAACTCTCTGGCTCAGCGTGTAGTCGTCTCGGAATGACACTTAAACAATTCTGTAGTCCCTCATTAATACTCATCTGTTTAGCTGGATCCATTAGAAATGCTTGTAAGTATTTCTCTCATGTAGTATATTATTTAAATAAAATAAATTTATTTAAATTAATATTGAAAAAAGCTTAATTCTGATAAGTGGCTTTTGTTACCTATTCAATTTTAGCTCTGCTAGTTAGAGATCAAGAGAGCTTATGCATTGGTGTGGTGTTTGTTGTACATCTGTCTGTCTGTCTGTCTGTCCATCTGTAAACAATTTTTCAAAATGCTACTCCTAAACAATTTTTCAAAATGCTACTCCTCCTAACAGTTTTGGTCCAATTTCATTAAGACTGGGTACACAAGTAGACTATTCTAAGATACATAATTCTTTTAATTTTTTTTTATTTCAACAAACTTTGATGCCATGGTTACTAAAATTAGAAATTTCTTTGAAATTCATTTAAAATGCTACTCCTCCTGCAGTTTTGGTCCAATTTCAATAAGATTTGGTACACAAGTAAACTATACTAAAATTTCATAATGCTAAATTAGTTTTTGATCTTAACAAACATTGTTGCCTTGGTTACTAAAAATACAACTTTCTCAGATTTTTTTTTTCAAAACGCTACTTCTCATACAGTTATGGTCTAATTTCAATAAGACTTGATTCACAAGTAGACTTACTAAGATTTTTTGACAAACGCATAGTTTCCGAAAACCAAATATTTCTATCAGTCATTCGGACTGATGACTTAATGTGTCTTACCAGTCCAAAGCAAATTTTATCAGTCCGAATAAATTCTAGTATAATTCATGATGTAATTCAAAAGAATATGACATTGGTTAGAACTGGTCTGTTTCACCTGAAAGTATACTTTAAATATGCTGCAGAACATCAATGGCAACCTAGATAACTGGACCTTGAATGAACTCAGATTGAGTGTGTAAATGATTCTGCGGATTGTAACAACAACGATTGTGAGGCATTTCAATAGTTCAGAGTACAATTAATTAGAATAATATTAACTGAGTCTCGAGACAAGCCCACATCACAATTAAAATATGTCACACATATCAATAGTTTCAATTGGATATGCTCCAAAACAAGTTTGAAGAATACAAAAGGAGTTTCACTGAACATGAATTACTCATAACAAATCTTTTTGAGCTTGTATATATGTTTTTTATCCTAAATAGTAACTCATATAAAGACAAAAATTCAACTCATTTTCTCAACGTTTTTTCTTGCTTCGAATAGTTATTTACATGCCATGTTGACATTCGGAACTCTCTAGATTATTCGTAGTAGTGTAGATTAGAAATATCTGCCCATTTATTTTGCTACATTGCCAGAAAGTAACTTGCTAAAGGCTTTGAGATTACGAAGAAAAGACAAAACATAACAGGTACAACTTAAAAAAACAAAACAAGAACAATGGATTGTTAATGCAGAAAATTATCAGTCATTCGGACCGGTGTTACAGTGAATTGCATCGGACATTTCAATTTTCTATCGGTTTTCCCGGTAAGACCAATGGTTTTCAGAAACTCTGCAAACGGTGTTACCATGGTTACTGAAAATAAAAATGTCTTAAAATATTTTTGAAGTACTACTCCTCCTACAGTTTTTATTCTGATAAGGCTAAAAAAATTTAATATATGGTTTCTCAGGCACTGTTGTATCAGGTCAAACACTGCCGCATTGATTAATCATATTGACATATTGAAAAGGGAAATAACTCAGTTTTTTTATTTTTCAAGTTGAAAAGGAAAATTGAGTTATTACCCTTTTCATACATGCAGGAAATAGTTTTTTTTTTTAAATTATTTTCTTATTATACCGGGGTATATAAAACAATATTTTATGAATTAACTTTTCATATAAAATGTTTGGAATAACATTGTCTTAAGTTGAGGACATACTAAATCTAATGTAAGAGTACAGAAAAGTAAGAATCAGTTGATATCATCTTGTTGTTCCAGAGAAAAGAAATAAACCTGCTACATTGAATTTTGAAATTTTTGGCCTGAGAAACTAAAGATTAATTTTTTTGGCCTTAGACTTTTTACACAAGTAGTCTATACTAAGATACATATTTCTTTATGATAAGTGCATACCAGTAGAGCTACAGTATTCGCAGAGAATTCTTTTTTTTTTTTTATTTTTTTTTTTTTTAAAGTATTATGTTTATATTAATCGCACCTTTATTGATGTCTGACATAAATATAAAACCCTTTGAAATTTCATTCAGTAGTTTATCTTGATATTATGTTTTATCTCTTTCATCAGCAGGATATGTGTTTGCCTATAACACCCAGCCATACTTTACTAGTATCAATCGGAGTCCAGAGGAAATTGGGAAGTACCTGTCTTGGGTCCCCTTGGTTGGGGGAAGTGTGAGTGTCTTGTTGGGAGGGTTCATCTCAGACCGACTGGTCAGGAGGTTGGGGCTTTACTCCAGAATCCTTGTTATTGGGATTAGTTTGGTAAGCTCCGTTTCTGTCAACAATCTGACCAACTCCATACATTTAATTTTTCCAAACTGATGCATTCTTTTAAAAAGTTAAATTATTTTCTTTAAATTCTTTACCAAAATATATAAGTTTTAGATAAGTCTGTTTGAACATTGAATTAATATTAAGTAGTTTAAAAAAGTAAGTAAAGTTTGTATTTACATGTACAGTAAATCTTATTGTCACAGAAATTGATTTAATCATCTGTAGATCTTTTTTTTTCATTCTCCTTGTACTTTCCAGTTAATAGCAGCTCCATTTGCAGCAGGGACTTTGTACTTTGATCCTCCAGGGGCATATTTCTTCCAAATACCTACATATATATTTGGTAAACATTTAATGTTTTTGGGTTTATCATTCTTTTATATTCTAAATACACGTATAACATGAAATTTCTGCACTTGTTAAAAAAGAAAGCCACAAGATATTATATTTCTTTGTGATATATGATATACATGTATAGTTTTTATTACAATTTTACTCTTGGACTATTGGAATTTATGCACAATGGAAGGCCTAAATAATATTTGTAACACTAATTCATGAGGATTTATTGCAATGTGTAGCAAAAATTACTGACAATATAATATAATTACTAAAAATATAAAACAATATACATGTAAAAATAAGCTTTTTTCTCAAAATAGCTCAAAATTCTGTGGATTTTATCAACCAATTTAATTTATTGTCTGTCACTTCAATGTTTAGGTGAGATGTGGGTAGGGATCACATTAGCCGTGGTGGTGGAGCTCGTCCCTGGCGAGATAAAGACGACAGCTGTAGCCGCCTACCTCTTTATTATTAGTAACATTGGAGGAAATGCTAACACCCTGGTCCCTCCACTCACAAAATATTTTGAAAATAAGGATTATTCAAAGTCTGAAGCTTTAAGAGGTAAAAGAAAAATATGTCCTCCATATACAGATACAGTTGAACTTTGTTATCTTGATCATATATATGGAATATTATGGATATATGTTGAAGTGAGCAGTCCTCATTTTATTATTAGTATAAGTGTCAAGTTTCATTTCTCAAACACTTTGAAATCTAGAAGGTCTGTGACAGTTTTGCAATTTTGGGGATAAAAAAGCTCAACTGTATTTGACTAAAATCTCTTTTCACAATGTACCAGGCTTGTAAGTGATAAATCCCTAACCAGGATTTGCCTAGAAAAATAACACTTTGTTGGGTAGATGGTTTGTCTTTGTCAGTTTGCAGTTGGACCTCAATTATCTACCCAATCACAGAAATCACACAATTTACATGCTTTTATAACTTTTACTTTTCATCTCAATCAATGCATTAAATTTTGAAATTTCAACTGCAGTATAATGAACACAAGATAATTTCTGATCACAAATATTTCCTGAAAGAATGATTTAGACTGTTTTTTTTAATTGTTTTAAGACATTATATAAATTCTTGTATATTTTGCATGATTGTTGATGATATGCACGCTTACCTTTGACCTTTAACACTTGACCTTTCTTTCAGCTGCCCTGTATATCATGTATCCAGGTCCCTATGTGTATGGTGCTGTTGTATATCTTAGTTCATTGTGTGTCATCAAGAGAGATAAAAAGAAAACACAAAAGGAAATGGTCTACGAAGCTGACAAGTAGAGAGTAAGAAAGGCTTAATGTTCAGTTTTTGTTAAGAAGATATGTGCATAAATTCCCATTATTACGGTATAATGAAAATGGTAGACAATATTTTATGTGAGTTAGAGAAACATCTATTTCTGAGGTTTTTTCTTGCATATATTTTTGTTTTCACGAGGGAATAAATTAAAGACATGTCCTACTTTTGTATCATTGCATTATTTCCACATTTTTAGAGGTTTAATGTTTGCAATAATTTCTGTATCTTTGTCATTCCTACCAGATAGAAATGTCCCCTTTTTGCACACATTTAATAAGAACACTACCATCACAATTTTTTTCGCAAAGCATTGCACATTTTTTGTGTTTTGTATGTAAGGAATAGGAAATAATTATTGTTTGTTTGTTTTGTTTTTTTTTGTATTACTTTGGAATGTCTTAAATTTAAAATGTATTGTAAATCATTTTTTTTTGACAAAATCATTGATAGCAAATACGCTTTCTCATATAGTATACACTGCAATGTGTTCTTTCAGATACCCTGTATGCTCTGTATGCTGGACCTTTCGTGTTCTGTATCCCTGTGTATTTCTTGTCTATGTTTGTACTAAAGCGAGACTACAGGAAAGCCCAAGCCTCCAATTATGTGGAAATGGAGGTCAGCTGATGACAGTGTTAGTTTAGGATAAATTTCTACTTGTGTGTAATTGTGAAAAATGAAAGAAATGGTATCCAAGAAATGATTGTATATGTGTATTGATTGTGAAGGAATCTTTATATGCTTCATTGCTTGTTTTTACAATATTCTGGATGAAATTTAGAGAATAACTGTCTTCTTGTTTGTTATTTGTGACTGTTAATGCAACTGCAGTCATCAACTGAGTTTTACTGATTACTGATTTAACAGTTGCAAAACAAGTTTTACTGGCAATGCATCAGCAGGCGGAAATCATATCCTGTACATTCTGCTTACTTCTATGTGATTGTCACAAATGTTGTCCATGATTATGAACAAGGAACCTTTAGAAGTTCATACCTTATGTAAAAGTTTGTTGTAACATGAAATTGTGAATTTCATCCAAAGGCTACTGACTTGTCATCGAAGAATCCCGTACAACAAGTCATATCAAATACTGTCATGTTTTCCATGCAAGATAATTTACAATAGCCAAAATCAATGTCACTAGTATGAAGTATTTTGGTTTTGAAATAATTGTGCAGACCAGACATTTTTAACTGCTTAAGATAAAGTACCTTAATTACACTGACACAGCAGATGGGACAAGAGGGTTTTGAATTAATTTGGGGGCATATTATTTTACTACTTAGTAATGTATAGGTGACATTGCTTGAAAAGGATGCATTTGATTTGACAAGATCACAAAGTAAATACACATGTAGTAGATGTGGTTTTCTAGGCCTGTAGTTGGGATGGTCTTGCAGGAGTTATTGGTCCTTTCAAAAGTGTTCTATTATACTGTGAAATCATCATTGTTCGTGGGGGACCAATGTTCGTGGATTTCATGGGTCACCCTTACCCACAAATTTACATCCCTATGAATGTTTATTTTGTAAACATGTTGATTCATTTAATTAACCATATAAACTAGTAACCCACAATTATGTCGCCTCCAACAAGTAAAATTTTGCTTGGCCACAAACATTAACCCCCATGAGTTAAAATGATTACACAGTATGCCCAAAACCCCAGATACATGTATTTGTATTGGTAATTAAGATTTAAAAAAAGCTCCTGTAAGCTTCTTAGTGATCTGAGTATTTTTTTTCCTTGAAAAAATAAGATCATATGTAGTGCACAATTATATGTCAATCAGATAAATAATGATATAAAACTGATACAATTTATTCAGAAGTAACTTTTAGCATTGAGTGAATGGGGCATTAAATTAATATTTTGCTTGATAGGTATTTGGAACATTATTGGCATTGTGTTCTTTTTCTATACAAAGTATATTACATGGGATATGCTAAAAAAATTACTATATGTGCATTATTTGAAATGGTAAACTTTTCTATTAATTATAATGACAGTTTGTTTAAATGTATTGCTATTAAGATATGACTATACCTTAGAATATATTAACAAATAATGGATCAGTAGCCATAAGTAATAGCCAGGTGAGCCAAATGATCAAATGTACAGAAACAGTAAAATATGTTTATAGCAAGCACATATAATGAAAATTCATGCAACTTCAACCATCATAGCAATTGTTTTTGCCTGTTTTACTGTACATGTAATTAATAAATAAATTATTATAGACTATATTTGTCCAGACAACAAAAGGGTATGATGGAAATGTGTTGTTGAACCTGAGAGAGTAAATGAAGTATTTATAGACTCTACATTTATACAGATATTGTTATATAGTACATATATAAATAAATATACCTCTGAGTCTCTTTTATTGTGCTCAACTAGTGTAAGTGTAACCTTAATTTTATATCAAAGAACCACAAAAAAAAAAAAAAAAAAGATTTGATTTAATTGTTTCTGAAATTTGCACCATTAGATTATGTGAATGAGTTGTATATTTAAAATATATAATAAAGTACATATAATTATATTTTTGTACTTCTTCATCAATTTTGCAATAAATCCTTACTTTCAACTATTTTCTCTGTTTCTTTTAATGATATTTACTGAAACGCAAAAGAAACGCAACATCCTATTTTAGAGGGGAAAATTATATAAAGGATATAATTTTGTATCTAAAAAGTACGGATATCTTCAACTTTGTAAGTATCGACAATTTAACGGTTGAATGATTTTCATGCCATAACCGGAAGTTAAGTTTGAGCCCGCTGAACAGAAATAAAAAATTGCATGTTTAACAAAACATTTGACAAAAATATGGGGTTTTAAGGGTTTGTATCCATGGCCGTAGGAACCGGGGGGGGGGGCTGTGCCCCCCCCCCCCAATAATTTTGCGGATATATAGATTACTATAGAAAACATAGCTACTATATCCTTGTGCCCCCTCAATAAAAAATTTTGGTTGATAGTGCCCCCTCAATCAACTGAAAAATTGCTTCCTATGGGCCATCTGTTTATCATAAGTAATGCAGCAATACTCCGCAAAATAAATTCTTCTTTCATTTCCGGAAGAGATGCCAAGGCTTCCCAAAAATGACTTAAGTATGCATTTCAAATGCTCTAGCTGTAATCAGTTTTGAAAATCATTAGTTAAAAGGTTCAAATAGATTACCATTTGTTGCGTTTCTTTTGCGTTTCAGTATATATGACAATCACCGTTGAAAAATGTTCTACCCCTGAATGAGTCCACTGCATGTTCTTCACAAATTAATATGCAGTGTTCTTTTTTTGTTTTTTGTTTTGTTTTGTTTTTTTTTTTGACTGAAGAAGATCGTTGTTCTGATTCACTCATGTGGACATCATACCCCCCCCCCCCCCTTGTGTAGCATAAAATTATGTATGCATAATTTTTTAAAATGCATAAATGGCCAGCTAGGGCATATAGTCTTTGTCATGTCCATCTTACATCTTTCCATCCTTCCACAGCTCTGCCTATCACACGTTGACTTTAGCTCAGACTCAAAGAAACTATTTTTATCAGAACTCATATGCTGATAAATACTGGGGAGAGCTATTCAGCTGTGTCATCTTTTTTTTTTTTTTGGTCTTTCATTTGACCTTGACATCACTTTTCTTAAATTTGTGTGTTTAGCTAAGTTTCAAAGAAACTCAGATATTCAAGATATTTTTATCAAACTTCAGATGCTGATACATACTGATGAGAGCTAATCTTTGATCTTGATATTGCCTTTGACTTTGACCTCTCTTTTCTTAAATTTGATTTTATCTCAGTTTCAAATAAACTTTAAGATATTTTTTATCAAACGTTATAGATTATATGATACATATTGATGAGAGCTATATTTATCAACATTTTTTACCTTGTCCTTTCCTTTGACTTTGACCTTATATTTCTTTTATTTGTGTTTAGCTCATTTAAGATATTTTTATCAAACTTCAGCTGCTGATACACATTCGTGAGAGCTATCCAACTGCATCTTTTCTTTTACCTAGACCTTCCCTTTGACCCCACTTTTCTTTTTAAATTTGCTCTAAGAAACAAATTGAGATATTTTTCATTAAACTTCAAGCACTGATACATATTGATGAGAGCCATTTAACAGCATATTTTTTTTTGATCTTGACTTTATTTTTCTTAAATTTGTGTTATGTCAATTTAACAGAATCAATTTAAAATATTTTTATCAACTAGTGAATACATATTCTGATACGTATTGTAAGAAGTTATCAATTGTGTCCATTTTTTTTTTTTATCTTGCCCTTCCCTATGACCGGCGACTAAAAAAATTATTTGATGATAATATGTTTAAAACTCAATTTCAAATTAAGAAACTCATATTCAAAATATTTTCATCAAACTTCAATATTGTATAATAAACTAATTGATATTGTATAATATAATTAAAACTAATTATACTTGGGGGGGATTGGAATCAGCATGCCAGTTGTCTGTATGAATTGCAGCTTAAAACCAGTCTGACATTAGATCTACATTAAGCTTCGTTTAATGAGGGGATCTAAGTTAAATTTGTTCAAATATCTGCATGCATTCCAGAATGTCTGGCCATTCATGCCCTCCTCCAAGCTGGGGAGATTATTACAATGTACGGGTATCAGTAAAAATATAGGGTAGGATAATGTTCAACGGGGTAATTTCAAGGGTCAAGGTTTTACCTGGGATTAAAGCTTAGTAATTAACCTGTATGGGTAGAATGTAAATGCTACCTAAATAGTTTTATAACATGTAAAATTAAGGCAAACAAGATTTAATGCTAAAAATAAATAAATAAAAAATAAATAAATAAATTATTGGATGATCATGATTGATTGATTAAATGAATCAATAAATAAAAATAATGTGTAACTTTGATAATTACTTGTTTTATCAGAATTTATTCAGAGTGCATAATGCATGAACTTGTACAAGATACATATCAGCTTGTAAAGACAAAATACTCAATTTGACTAGATGTAATATTTGAAGTCGGGATCAGGATTTTTTCTGAATGTACACGTAAGCGTCAAATTGACATAGATTTGTTTTCAGCAGGCAAAAGCCATGGCTGGTCCGGCGTTAAATGAGGATATTCAAACGATCACTTTCCACAATCTACGCCCTCTTTTTTTACATGGAACAATAGGGCCATTCTGCATATTCTATTTAATTTGGTTCTATTTTTGGACCGTTGTTTATGGCGTGGAAAACTATTTTGAAGCCGGTTTGATTGCTCTTGCTGGCATAGCTATTTTACAGATTTTGGCTATGTTATGTTGTGTGTGGTCTGTAGATTTGCGATGTTGGATGACATGTTCAAAGGTACTAAAATTAACAACATGAAAATAAATAATTGGATACATGTGAAGTCTTGAAATGTAGTTGAAATAAATGACATTTCACTTGAACAGCTGGTAGCTCGAATTTGCTCAAAATGCAAAAAAACTGTGTCAGTAACGTATGATATGCCATATGGTGTGCTTGTTAGCGCAGATGGAGCCATTATGAGCATTTCAATAGCTTAAAGTAGGTGTAAATAATTGAAAACAGAGTTTATGCAAGTTATATTTCCTTTGTAATTGGTACATGTATTTCAACTACATTTATTTACTGGTCATTGGTCTGATGTATTGGAAAGATTCATCTTGAGTTCTCATAATAATATTATAGTGGAAGATTGCCTGCATTGCTGGATAGTTAGAATAATCTAACTGTGTCTCGGGACAAGCCCTCACCACAGTTAGAATACGTCCCATATACTTGCAATGTAGCAAATCGGAGTGGATCCACTCCGAAATGATTTTGAAGAATACAAAAGGAGTTGCACTGAAAATAACTACCAAATTAATCATAACAAACTTTTTGAGATTGTATATGCCTTTTAACCTAAAAAATAATCCATATAAATACGAAAATTCAACTCATTTTCTCAACATTTTTTCCTCTCTTCAAATTTAATGCCATGTTGACATTCGGAAGTCTCTGGATTGTTCATAGAAAATGCAGAGGGTTCAAGTTATCGCCCTGTTTATTTTGCTACATTGCGAATACACGGAACGAATTCTTTCATTAAACCGGGTCCGTAGGACAATATCATTTTAACGATAGAATGTTCTATCTATCTGCTGGACAATGATGTCACTTAACAACACTCCTTGAAAGTCAAAAATTTGCATTTACAAACCAAGATTGTTATTTTTCAGTAGTGCAATATATGTACTGGTATGTTGTAAGCTTATCTATATTAATGAAGAAAGTGCGCATTTGAAATGCTAGTGTGAATTACAAATTTGATCTCTTATTTTACCCTTGCTCCTTAAAAGTATACCATTTACAAGACTGATCTTGCAAGTCAGTTATATTTTCAAATGGAAGTGCCACGACTGCAAGTTCCAAAATTATCAAATGAAGCCTTCCAGAATAAAGAAAAGTTGCAGAATTCTGCAGTAAAATGTAAATGAGTGATAGATAGTTCTAACAATTTCATGGAGTACTAACATATTACTCACAGGAAAAAGGGATTTTATGGCATGATTTTTTTTTCTGTTTTAATGTCTTTTTGAGTGAGATATGTTGTTGATTACCCAAAGCATTACAAGAACATTAGAAAAATTCAACCAAATCTTTCTGAACCAACATGACGACCAGAATTTTTCATTTCCCTCTTTACTATATATAGAACTTGCATGTTTGATTTTCTCAATACAGTTTTAAAGAACATCAGTATTAATACAGGTTAAAAATCCTGATGAAGCAGAATGGTTGAAAGTAACACCCACCCCAAATAATGGATCGACAGAATTTGTCAAATTACACAGAGAGAAGGTATGAATTGTTTAGGGTTAATTTTCATCATTTCACAAGTCCAACTGTTCTTTGTTCAATGTTGCAAAAAAATGTCTCAAGATTATACATTGTATAAATTGTGTAGTTCCTACAATGTCTGAGTATCAATCCAAACAGTTTGTATGTGAATTCTATGTGTATCATAATCTTGATAATGACTTGTTGTTTTGGTATTTCCCTTCAAATGGCAGTCTATACATGCTAGTTTGTTTCACAGGTTGATGGAAGACCTCCAGATCTTTGGTTTGTTTTCCAAAAGACCCGTTACATGTATGACAGGGAGGAGAAAAAACAGTTTGTTTCTGCCCAGTTCCCTGTGGATCTTCCTGTCAGTCACTACATGGACTGGAAAGGTTATCAGGAGGAGGAGGATCTCAAGCAGAATGAAAAGAAATTTGGAAAAAATATGTATGATATTCTCTATCACAAAATGTTTTTCTCTTTTCTAGCACAAAATTATTACCTTATAGTTCTGTAGTTATTTTAAATCTCTTAGCCCTGGTTTCAATGCTAGATGGAATGCTTAATTTTAACTAAATGTTGATGGGGGAAGCTTTAAATGATGTGTATGCTTTTGAATGGCTTGTTTATCATATTTTTAAATTTAAAAGATAT